ATTGTTCATCATTTTTCATACTGTTACTTTTACGTTTATGGTCTTATTCCGTTTGAGTGCGTTTCGATGATTTTCACTTTTCGGGACCGCGTAGGGCCCGTTCGGACGATATTTTCAGATTCTAGAAAAGCTGCAAGAAGAGAGAAAATATCAAAATTCTCTCTCTCCCACGGCTGCTTCAGCCATTTTATCTTTTTTTTTTTTACTCTTTTTCTTCTCTTCTGCTTTTAGCCTTCTTCCTCTTTGATTATTCCCCTGCAGTAGGAGACTTATATGTCGGCATTGGCAATTCCTTCATTTTTATTCGATAGGATTTCGGTTTTGTTCGTTTTTGAGTTTTGGGTTTGAACTCGGGTTTGGATTTGGGTGTTACAGCAAGAGGACTTTTCGTTCTCCTCGTTGTCCCCATCATAATCCCGAAGTTTCATCGCATTCGGAAAGGTTCCATTTTGGTGTCATTTGAGATCTTCATCTGAGATCTTCATCTCAAATTGAGGTAGGGGGTGTAGTATGTTTATAACCTTAGATTTTCCTTGTGTTTTAGAGTCCACCGTATGTTATATGCATGTTGTGTGAGTTGCAGGAATATATATGAGATTTATATTTCTTGACTTAGGTTATTATATTACACAAAACATGCATATCATTGTTATTTTGTAAAGCTTGTCATTTAATTGGTAAAAGATTTTACTACTATTAATTTCATTGAAATATAATTGTTACAATATTGTATTCTTCTTGCCATTTAAATTACTCAAAGCTTGTACAATATTTATGTGGTTGTGTGATTAAATATTTAAGGCTTATAATACTAGCATGACTTAACCATTTATGTTGATATCATAATGCTAGTGTAAGTGTGTACACATTGAGGACTTGATATCATGTCATATATATAGCCTTGTGGACTTAGGATATGGATTGTGTGATTTTCACATCTTATGTGCGCATGGAAGTTGAACAATGTGCATTATATATATATATATATAATTATGTTGTGGACATAATTATTTACTTTGGGAAATACTTGGGGCATTATTATGTTGACATGGCTAGAGTTCGGCTCTAGTGCAGGATGTATGAGTTCATATGGTGTTTGGCTTTAGTGCGGAAGGAAGATTTTTCGACCTTTCCATAATTCATATAGTGTCACATTAGTTTTCTTTTGAGGTATTATATTGAGAACATAATTTGTGTAAATCAAAATTTCTCCCCACAAATTCTGAGTTAACCTAGAAATTATCAACATAGCATTCATCATTTCTTCGTGAATGATACCATGTTCTGAACAAATATTAGTACATGGTGTTTTGTATTCACCACTTCTATCATTTCATAACACGTTGATCTTTTTGCCAAGTTGATTCTTAACCTCATTTTTGTAATGTTTAAACATTTTTAAGGTTACATCTTTATTTCGTAGAAAATATACATAACAATATCTTGTGCAATAATTGATAAAAGTAACGAAGTACTTTTTTCAACCTCTAATTGGCAAAAATTTAAGATAATATAATATACTATATAATATCATATTACAAAATTAAAATAATTCAACCAATATTGAATTATATAAATAATTCAATAATTTACTTATAAAACATGTTTCAATTTCACATATTATTGAACACATCAATATCATATAATAATGTATACAACATTATTTTATTATATCTCAACTATTAGTATAATCTCTACTTGTTTATATCTTAAATAGAAGTATATAATAAAATCTACGCAAGGAATAAATTGTCTTAAGATTGTTGTTAAATATATGCTTCAAATGACATTTAAGATATAACTAACCTTATACTAATATGCCATGAGATAATTAATAATACGTTAAAAAATAATTAAATAAATACGTAACTCGATATATAATTAACCATCCAAATTAAAGCAATAAAATAATAATAATAATAAATAAAGAACTTGGACTGAGGCTAGTATTAGATACTATGTCCTTAAGACAATTTATGTCCTGCATGGTGCTAACGGATTCTGTGGCGCTTGTCTCACAGAATACAATGATCTACATCCACCAGTAGCAACACTACAAATTATTTGATGCGGTGAACCTCCTACGTGTAATACTCTTTCTGACTAAAAAATGCATCTATACTATATAGATGCTAAATTGGGTGCAATTCGAACCAAATGGTTCGGACCAATCTTAATATAGCTCGATGAAATTGGATTAAGGTTTAAGTAGCTCTGACTACTTGACCTATGATTTGAACCTACTTGAGTTGGATTCAAGTCTAGAGAGGAAGAGAGAAGAAAATGAATTGAACCAATTGCAAATGGCAGCCCAGGGGTATTTATAGAAATAGAAGTGCCTTTTCGGATTGGATGTGTCTCTTCATCATTAAACACAACCATTTATATGTGTCTCTTCATTACTAGACACAACCTTTTATATGTGTCTCTTCATTAATAGACACAATGTATATCTTTATCACCAGACACACCCACTACAATAGGTTGCAATACTTCACATTGAATAGGTTATGTATGTTGGTTTTGAGTTGCATCTTTTCATCTCACAATTAACCAGTGATCACACCTGTTCAGTCAAAGGAGCGCGTCTGTTAATGATCGATGAAACAATTTTCATTCAAAAATTCTAACAATATATATAATAATTTTTTATAATTCTATTGGCTTTTTATTTATTTATTTATTATTTTTTAATTCTCGCGCGAATCTTCTAAAGTCACTTTACCTTGCTGTCCTATGCGGTGCACATTACTTGACCTATATTTAGCCATATCTTTATTTATTTCCTCACCACCACCTTTACCTTCAAAACAAGATATTCACATAATACCGAATAACTAATATCATACATAAATCTAGCCTAAAAAAATTAGAGATACTGCTCGACGCCTAATGATTAAACGTTTAACGAAAGCCCCCAACCGTTCAACGTGTAGCCACTTCACGTTGACTGAGTCCTGTATATATAAAGAAAAAAAAAACCACATTCATCAGATTCACCATCAAAAGAAGGTATTCATATAGTCCTGAATAACTAATGTCACACATAAATCTAGGCAAAAAAATCAGAGATACTGGTCGACGCCTAAGGACCAGACGCCGACCGAAAAACCCTAACCGATCGAAATGTAGTCACTTCACGTCGATCGAGTCCTGTATACATGGAAAAAAAAAGTAGTTATGACTATTTTTATTTTTTCTGCTAAATATAGAGTATTTTGTATGTATGAGTATGTATATATATATATATATATATATATATATTTTGGAAACCTGAGGTATCCGAGGCTTTTCCCCGACTAATCCCCGAGGACTCGTGCAAGGGGGTAAACTCAAACTATATCCGCAGTCGTGGCCCGAAGGAATTGCTCGCACCTAATGTGAATCGAACCTGAGACCTGAAGCTCAATGAGCCTCCAAGTCTCAAGCCTCTTCCACTGGGCTAACCCCTTGGGGTTTAAGTATTTTGTATATCGTCTAAACTTTAATATGACCATTTTCATTATTTTGCTGAACACCGGGTATTTTGTATATTGTCTAAACTTTAATATTATGATGAAACTCTTTAAATTAATATATAAAAGTGTTTTTTTAGTTGTTATAATTTTTTTTGGTTAATTACACTGACACCCCCTGAGATTTACTATAATGACGTCTATATACAAGTTGGACCATTTTTGAACGATGACACCGCCTTAGGTTTGATAAAGTTAATAAATACACCCCAAATGCTCCTTACACATGGTGAATTGACATTATTGTCCTTTGACACATTCAATTACCAATTTATCTAACTCAATTTTTTATTATTAACCAAAATACCCTAGTAACCCTACTCACACTAATAAACTAAACCAACAGCCACCACACCCACCACCACCATATCACAGCCCTACCATAGCCCCTTCTGTATAAAAGCTCAATCTCACCGAAAGCTTGTTATTGCTTCAATTGGGTTCACTCTATACCATTCATATCATCTCCTTCTCTGTTAACAAACCCACAATCCAAATAACCCCCAAAGCCCAACCCAATTTCATAATTTTTGCCACCGGCGAGGGCAAAAAGATTGCGGTTGAGAGATCCACAACCTTTGGCTTCAAAATTTTGATGGAAACATTCACAGTTGATGACATCTGTCGGGATGAGAGAAGATTGGTTCGCCTAGAACTTCTACAAGTCTTTCTCTTAGGCTCTAGCAATGGTGACTACCAAAGTGATGAGATTGGATTTCAGCGATGGCTAATGTGGTTGGGGAGAGACGGCGACGGTGGCGGATCAAGAGGCGGCGATGGTGGATGCAGATGTGGATGAGGCAGTGGTAGAGGTAGAGGAAGGAAGCGGTGAGATTATGGAAGTGGAGAGGTGGTGGACGTTGCAGTAGAGAAAGGGTGGGTGGAGATGGTGTTGGACCGTAAGTGGGTGGAGACGATAGTTATATATACATATATATATATATATATATATATTTATTTATTTATTTATGATGGTGTTGATGTAATATTGTGTATATATAAGGGCAAATTTGGCTTTTCATGAATTTTGATATTTTACCATAAAAATGAATTAAACATTGAAGGGCAAAGTAGTTTTTTCTAATGTTTTAAGGGCTTGTTTGAATCAAAATCTCAGAGGGGGTGTGTTTGTTCAAAAAATAGTTAAGTTGTATATGACTGTCAACACGTCAAATTTCAGATAGTATCATTGTAATTAACCTAATTTTTTTAGTAAAATTTAACTTCAAATAATTACATTTAGATTGATATTTACATTAGTTATGAGCACTGTGCAAAATTCTCTCTCTCTTTTTTTTAAGGGATGAATGTAGAAGTAAATAAGTTAGCATTATTTACTTTTGTAATTGTGACATCTAACCAAAGGTCATCTCAAAGCCGTACAAAGTAAAAGACCTAAGACTAAATGTCAACCAAGTAAAACAAACGTACCATAATCCTTGACAATTTGCACATAAGAGGATTTAGTGGTCCTCGAATGTATCCTCAATTAATTTCATCGTCGGTATCCGAAAATAAATAAATAAATAGATTTCATCGTCGTATATGTTATGCGGTGAAGACAAACAGCTTTTCAGTTAACTCTTTCACTTGCCGTTGCCGCTTGTAGTATATCCACCTATCTTTTTCTTCGATGGACGTTGATGATGAGGTGAACTAACCCTATTCTCACACACTGATTGATATGATATCATTCTAGTCTAGTGCCATCTTTCTTATGTGTTTCCTTGTGTATGTCCCAAATCATTTATGTATACCGCGTACGCTATTTTGGATCAGTAAATTATTTTTAGGGTTTATGAAGGCATTCTTCACTTTTTTTTTTTTTTTTTTAAAGAATTTTAAAGCTATTTGATATCTTGAACCAACTTGATTATCCTGCTTCATATCTTTCACCTCGTTGTTTAGCAACCGGCAATTTTGGAGAACTGATGCTATAAACGGCTTTATTACTGTCATATCTATAATCTATATCTATATGTGTGTATGTTTCCTTTGTGTTATTTTATATAAATGTCAAATTTCTTCTGTCTTTTTTGTTTGCTGTTATATTTGTGCCTTTTCTACTATATTTTTAATGATGAAATGAACCATTTTCGACTATCTTTACCGTTAAAGGTGTTTTGCCTTTCATGCTCAAGAGAATCACGAAAGAAATAAGATAAGACAACCAGAGGAAGAATAAGAAATATACTTGTTCTTCTGATTGGGTTAATCATTTTTCTTTGTTCCTTGATTCATTGCTGTACAATTGATTTGGAACTGATTGTTTTCAGCTTTATTGCTTTGTTTATTTTTATTTTTTTTTACCTTTTTCCAGATTACCTAGTATGTCCATTTTAATTGAGGTAGCCAATGTATGTAAACTGAATGAACTAATGTTCTTTTCATATGTGAATTTGACGAAACAATGTGAGACAAATTTCTGGTTGTTTATGGATTACTAGCATTATTCACCAACAATTCTTGTTAACCACTCTTTACTGGTCCTGTGTATATGCACAGGAATGCATGCACTTTTTAGTGCTCAAATGGATAATGACTATTTTGACTTGTCTTACCATGTCAAGAATTGTGTGTTTGTGTATGTGTGCACATATGTATGTGTACATTTCTGTGAATAAAACCTATATTCCTATTTAAGTATGTAACTAAGTTGCATGTTAATTTGTTTTTATCTTACCTTAATGCTGATGACATGTTATTTATTGCTGCAGCATTTAGGTCATGAATCTGTTGAGACTGACGAAGATTGTTCATTAGTTCTTGAGCTTTCTGAAAATGACCCTCTCTTCGAGGAAAAGAAGGTTAGAATTTTTACAAGCTTTCAGAATTACTTTGTTCTCTCTTCTAACCTATCTCTTCAAGTTTGGTAATATTCAAATTTTCTTACCAAAATCTTAATGCTAACTGATAGTAGCTTCATTTGAATTCTAACTTGCCAGTGGCTTTTTAATTATTGCCCTTTATTTTATCTCATGTGATAGAAATTACTTGAAGCCAAAGGTTTTGATCCTAAGGGACATGTATACTTCAAAAGCTCCTCTAACCCCAATTCACTCAACTCTACATTGCAAGCAATGCTTCAGAAAGAGAGAATCATGCACTTGGATGAGGTAAGATGTTTTGTACCCTCTAAAGTCCTGATTGAACTTGTCAAACTGGCTGTTTTGACCTACTGAGGAAAAAAATTGTTGTTTTGGTTTCATGCGAGCCTGTTCTGGCACTAAAGTTTGGCATGAATAGCACTATAGCCAAACATTTCCTAAAGTGCCTATGTAGGTGAGTAATTAATGCGGACAAGTGATCTCACTGTGGTACAGGTGGAACTCTACTTTGGTGAACTTGATCTAATTTGTCCAGTAGGCATTCAAAGCCCCAGGAATGAGTTGGAAGCATTCCATTCAATCCTGTCAGCCATTGATAAGTCACTCTTAAGTGGTAAGCACGTGATGACAAATGTCCTTCAAGATTTGAGGAATGCAACTGTTTATATGATCCGTGAATTTGGGGACCAAATCAGAGAGGAGACTCGAATCATTGCCAACAGTAGATGTGATGGGGAGAAGTGTTTATTACAGTGGGGTGAAAACAATGGTGTTAGAACGAAGTTGGAGATAACTTGTAAGTATTTGTAACTAATAATAGTTCTTCTAAACTTCTGCTACTCCCCTTGATTATCAAGCATATTGAGGACACCATGCTCTTTAATTACGGAAGTGCTCTTGGTAACAATACTTTATGTGATTCATGTAGCCAATCCCAAATGGTTAGGAAAAAGGCTTCTTTATTTATTTATTAATTTTTTATACTTGAGTTGTAATACTAGTTTATGTATTAGGAAAGCTATTCTTCAGTATTATTTTCTACTTCTGTCATATAGATGTAGAAGGAGCTGGAAGAGGAGCCATAGCAATGGAAGATCTTGAAGTTGGAGACATTGCTTTGGAGATCCCTGTGTCAATCATCATTACTGAGGAGCTTGTTCATGAATCTGACATGGTATAATTCATCATTTCTTGAAGACTAGAATGTTATTGTAAAAATTGCAAACTGAAATAAGTGGACCTTTTTTATTTTTTTAATTTTTTTTTTTTGGGGGGGGGGGGGGGGGGGATGTAGACCTCGCAATCTAAGAGCTTGTCGAATGGATGAAATGATAAACGTGCTTGTCCTGTTAATTTCACAAACTTACTAGGGACTAGTTTCTCAAAATTTCCAAGTGAGGACAAACTTCTGCATGCTCAAGCTACCAATAATTAAATCTAGTAAACCACTGGAAGCAATGAAAACACTAAGAAGAGTTTAAAGTTGATTTTTACTTTAATTTTTTTATTATACGAGTTCTCTAGTAACAAAGTAGAATATATAATATAGCATAAAAGGTGCCCATGTGATCTATGTTACATGGATGCTTCAATAGTAGGTGAAGTACCCATCTCCGACACACATTGGTCGGACAGTATTGGGTATGTGTTCGACCCTTTTGGTTGGACATGCACCTAAAACCCATGTCCAATAATTCAATTTTATTGTATTATTGCTTCAAAATAAGAGAAATGCCAATAGTGCACACTATGTTACATAAAGACATCATTTTACTTATAAAATAAAAAAATTAAATAGTATAAATATTTAGTAGTGTCCACGTGTCCTTGTGGTTGGGGATTTGACACATCCGAGGTATGGATATGCACCTGCACCCGACACATTTACCCAAGTCCATGTAACATAACATGTGATACAATCCCAATTTGATTTTGGTGAAAATAATTTTTTTAAAGATTTTACGGAGCTGATAAATCCAATGATGTCCTATATCCATTTCCCATTTTATGATATGTAGTATGTACTTGTGTGATTTTGACTTTACATCTTAACTTTGGTTAAGCATTATGTACTCAATGTTTGTTAAGTAGTTACATGAAGTTCATGCTTCCTTCCACTAATTCATGTCATATGCTTTTGAGAGGTGGCAAACAGTAGCTTGCTGTGGATATCTTACTCCGCCTTTTTATGTCTCCTAAGTGCCACCGTGCTAAATTGTTACGTGTCATTTTGCAGGAGGATTCTCCATTCTTTAGTTGACTGGGATGCATCTTTATGAGACACGTGGCAATCTAAGATTATGTCATGTGTCGTATTTCCTTTCTCCATAGTTCCACCTTCAGTCCCACTATGCCCACCATCAATATATGGTTTGTCTAAATCTTTGGACATTGACTAGTCTGTAAGAGCAAAGGTTATTTGTCACTGGGCACTACTTCATTGTTCGGTTGGCTATCTAGGAACAGGTTGCACCATGTACTCTTAGACTTGCGATCCCATATCTCTCCTTATGTAGTTCAATTTCGCGCTCACAATTGCTCAGCCAGTTTTCCTTAAAGGATCTCCACCTTACTCTACCCTATAAAAAAAGTTGTATCAGAACCCCTACACCTCGAAACATCTTATACTAGTTTGGATTGGAGCTCCTTGAGTTCATGTTGTTGCCCAAAGTCGTCAAGTCTTTTGGCAAGCTCAGAAACTTTCGTGAGGCTTGGACTAAGGCTGGCTATACTAGGATAGAGGAAGACTAAGGGCTGTCTCTGTGGTAACTAAGGATGGATTTGGGTATTATGTTTTCTAGCTCAAGGCAGAGTGTGAAGGTGAAAGTCCAAGTGTGCTAACCAAGGTTGTCAGAATTGGGATTCTACGTAGGATCGTTGGGGGCTCTGTAGAATTGGAATTGTAGATCAGATCGAGAATCGTAAGATTTGACCATACTAGTGGAAAAACAATTCAAACTAACTTGTTAAACAATAACATCTCTAAAATATAGCAAGAATAAATATATTAAAGTATCACGCCAATTATAAATTTATAATATCATAATTATCATTATCAGTCTGTGAGACTGATAAAGGTCGCCAAAAGAAAGTAAAGAAACCCAACTGAAGTTGCTGAACTACAATACCATAATACAGAAGTTTCACAAGAACACAATCAGACACCATAACACCATAATACCATAATATTATCAAATTACAGCCATAATTCAGAGCTAGATACTTGGACCTTTAGATTACACAAAACCATAATACCTTCACAAGAACAGAAACAGATAAACAAGCCTATAATCAATTGAGCAAATCTAGCACAAATTAAACACAAAATAACCAAACTAAAGCAATTAAGAAGAGTAAATTTAGCCATAACAAGTCTGAGAAGAAGAGTTCTCACTCCATTAAATATCGTAGCCTTAAAAAAGTCAAAATGAAGGGGGAAAAAAAAAAAAACCTAGAAGCAACCTAAAGATTTAGTCTTGAAAAAGAAAAAAAAAAGAATATAAACAAAATACTTTCACAAGTTTCAGATTCCCACAAAAAAAAAAGAAAAAAAAGAGTGAATAGTAAATCGGTGGAATCACATAGAATCATGAGATTTCACGATTACACGAGCAATTCTACCGATTCTACTATGATTCTTCTAATTGTTGATTAATCGCTGGAGATGGTTTAGAACCAATAGTTCATTTTCTAATGGATATTTCTTTTGTTCTAATACTCTATCCGAGAGTTATCAGTATTTATCAAATCTGTTCCTATCTAACGGTCTACCAAAGCAACGAGTTGGTTGCGAATTGGATCGATTTGGGGGTGATGGGATCGTAGAATCGTACGCTTCTACAATCTAGAATTGCGATTTTAACAACCTTGACTGTTAACTTGACAAACAGAATGGTCTAAGTTGTGCAAACAAATTGGAAATAAAACAAAGCACATAACTGAGATTGCAAATCAAAACAAAATAAGGAGTTCAAGGGATAGAGAAATTGCAAATAATCAATACAACGATTTACAAGCTTCGACACCTGCCTAGTCCTTGCCTCCAGGATAGCTTCCTGAGAATTCCCAAATGTCACTCTCTCACTTCTGTTTCACAGGTAGAGAAGAAACTTTTACACTGGTCCTTTTCACAGGCTCAAGACCAGCCTTCTCTTTTACCAGGCTTAGAGATAACCTTTACTTGCTAAGGAGCAACACTCTTTCAAACTTCCAAAGATCTCACAGACCTTTGGTTTGAGCTTCACAGCTCTACAATGGTGTCCCTTTTCTTGGACAGATAATTCAATGAAAGCTCACTACAATGTCTCTCTCAAAAGAGAGATTTACAATAAGCTCACTCGTTCTCCAGTGTAGCGGATGAAGCAAATGATCTAGCTTAACTTCTAGAGAATGATTTCTAAAGACTTCTTCTGAATATTCAATGAAGAGCTGAAATTTTCTTTTCCTTCTTTCCTCACTAAGCTTTTTAAAAGATTTGAGTGAAGGTTTGAAAAGATTTTCTCGAAATTGATTTCTACAATAATGTACAGTGATACTAAAATAAGTGTGAGGGGAACATCTTTAAACTCTCAGTGAAGATTATAGCCATTAGAGAGCTTTGAGACTGTTTGACAACAAGTGTAAATGGAGCGTGCAAAACATTCAGCTTATCAGCCTTTCCAATACACTAAGCCGTTTGTTCCACATAGAGCAGAAGTCTTGCTGGACTTTTCTGGGAGCATTTTCATATCCCATCTGTTAACCAGCTTAACAACGTCTCTTTGGTGTGGCTACCAGATGTCTTATGGCCCACGTAGTGTATTATTGATCTTATTCTTTAAGCTTGGCCATGTTACTGGATAAGGAGGACTAGTACGAACAAGCAAGCGCCTTTTTTCACTTATATTGAATTAAATCATTTTAGCTCTATATCCATAAAGTGAAATACCATGTGACCCTTAATGACTACTTTGCCCTTACTTTTTGAATTTGAATTAAAGTGTGAGAGCCAGGAATTTTGATTTGGCGGGGGCCGAACCAAAAAATCAAAGGTAACTATAGCACATGAGACTCTTATTATTGCAGAGTTGGGGCGAACTAGTACTATGTAATTAAAAATTAAAAATTTATTAATCAATCACAATGATATTGTAGTAAAAATTAAAAATAATGAATTTATATTTTTGTTGGATAAGATTTGAGTTCAATTTAAAATTTTGTATGAGTTTTGAGATACACAAATTATTTTTATTTGTAAATTCATAATTATTGGGGCAAATAAATAAATGCTTTGGAAATTTTGGGGGGGGGAGCAATGAATATTTTTTATGAGGTTTGGGGGCCAAAAGTAGAGGTATTTATATAAAATAACAATTTATGTGGGGAAAAAAAAATTGTGAATTTTTTTGGTGGGGGCCATGGCCCCTGCTGGCCCCACTCTAGCTCCGCCCCTGGTGAGAGGCTGAGAGCTGAGTCAATTTTTCTTAAGGACCAAGAAAACAGTTTGTCTTTTAGCCTAGGTCCAATTATATTATCTTACAGTTGAGCTAAGTACATCTTGCAACATAACCAATACTTTACATCGATTTTAACACTCACCAACCCCAAAGCTCCATGTTCTTGAACTTGATCTTCAATAGTTATAGTCCTTTCGTAATGTACTGGTCAGCAGTAAGCTTGCATCCATGAGCTTGAATTAAATATATTCTTGATGCCCCATCCATGGATCAACTTGATACTGATTGAATAATAATTCTAAAATTCATTACACTCAAGTAGGCTAATAAATACACACATTAATAGTTTGTTATAATCAAAATCACCAAGTTTCACTTGGCTTGAAACCTTGGGGCTAACACGTGACATTTGGACTGCATCAAGGTCTACTTGGAGGTGTTTGTGGATTGTGGTTAGAACAAAGGGTCATCGAGGTATCCCCTTGACGATACACGCCTTCACCCCTAAACCCTAAACCACATCATTATTGAAGAATATTCCCTTTTGATGTGGACCATGTGGTTGTGTCTCATTGGGCTATGTTATAAACACATACATCTTCTTCCATGTGCACATATTCTTATAAATAGGGGATGACTCTCACATCATTTTCAAGAATAATCACAGCTATCACATATAACCAATCACATATTTGAGCAAGGTATATTCAATTCTTTTTAAAACTGGAATAAACATTAGAGTGAAGTGGACACGTCAGGATTCCATGTTCTCTCCGTTGCAGCCACTCTCTCTCTTTCTGTTTCATAAGGTTGCCTTATTCCCACCCTGGCCCAATCCACTAGGAATCTGCACCATCTTTTGCGTGGTGTCTCCATCACTCACAAGAACCTACATGTTCTTTTAACTCCTCCAGGGAGATATTACCCATACAATGATGGATAGATGCAACAACTGCAGTGGTTGATCTTGCACTCATGCTGCTACTAGCATTAGTGACATTGCTAGCATGCTCTCAGGCCAACTTCATGACTCCCCTGCATGCACAAATAGACTAATATAGTGTTGTAACCTAAGAATCTGATTGGTAGCCTAGGTAATTATTTTTAGTTTTCTTGATTGCAGTTCCCTGTGTTGAAAAAGATAGATGGTATTTCCTCTGAGACGATGTTGTTATTGTGGAGCATGAAGGAGAAGCACAATCGTAATTCAAAATTTAAGATCTACTTTGATACACTGCCAGAAGTATTCAATACAGGTCTCCTTTTTGCTTTAATACCCTTCTTTAGTTATATCTAGTTTCTTGTTAAATATGGGTAGTATAATTCAAGTAAAAGTGAAGATATACAATTGTTATTTTTTACTTCCCTTCAGTTTTGGATTATATATATATATATATATATCTAAGTAGAAATATAATATAGAAGAAAAAAGAGAGAATTGTGTAAAGGATTTTTTTTTTTTTTTCATAGTTGGTACCCACACATACACGCCTCTACTAAGATTCGAACCCTTTACCTCCCTTTGGGAAGTAGGGGCCTAGTACCGCTAGGCCACAGGCCTGTTGGTTATTTTATAAAGGATTGAATGAGATTAATCACTCATTCACAGCTTTAGTATTTATAGATTAAAAAGAGCCCATGCTCATATTATAAGAAAGGAAACTAAATCAAATCTCTACTAATATGATAAGTCATTCCATAAATCATGGCTATCATATAAGCTAACATATGCATAATCAAATCTCTGCTAATATAGTAAGTCATTCCATAAATCGTGGTTATCATATATGCTAACACTCTCCCTCAAGTTGGTGCGTGGATATCTGAAACGTCCAACATGGACAATGCATTTTCAAACACAATCTTGTCGATGCCCTTTGTGAGAATGTTTGTAAGCTGCTGAGAGCTTGTGACAAATGGAGTGCAAATCTGACTAGTGATAATTTTCTCTTAGATGAAGTGCCAATCAACAAATAAAAAATGTCTTCTCAGACTATAAATAATTAACAATGTCTCCTCAGACCATAAACAACCAATTATATCTCCTCAGACCGTCAACAACCAACAATGTCTCCTCAGACCATTTCCCTTCATTCACATGTTTAAAACGTGTAGATGGAGATGTCTCCTCAGACCATTCCCCTCCTTCATACATATGTTTAAATAATGTAGATGAAATAATCAACAATGTCTTCTTAGATCATAAAAAGAAACAACTATGTCTCCTCAGACCATTTTTGAATGGGTGGTGTCAAACTCGCAATGAGGGTCTATTCGACACCTCCCGGACAGGTGATGTCACTTTAGACCATTCTCGAATGGATGGTGTCGAACTCGCAATGAGGGCCTACCCGACACCTCTCGGACATGTGATTTCACTTTAGACCATTCTCAAATGGGTGGTGCCGAACTCGCAATGCCCTCATTGCAATTGGACCACCCTGACTCTGATACCAAGTAGAAATATAATATAGAAGAAAAAAGAGAGAATTGTGTAAAGGATTGAATGAAATTAATCACTCATTCACAATTCTAGTATTTATAGATAAAAAAGAACCATACTCATATTACAAGAAAGGAAACTAAATCAAATTTAAATCAAATCTCTGCTAATATGGTAAGTCATTTCATAAATCATGGCTATCATATATGCTAACATATGCATAATCAAATCTTTGTAATATGGTAAGTCATTCCATAAATCGTGGCTATCATATATATATTTTTGATAAGTAATAATTGAATAAAAAAAGGCGTTCAAGAGGGGAACGCGTCCCTTATACAAAAGTGGAACCGGGGATTAAGGCCTCAAAGAATCCAAAAAAAATGATTAAATCATCGGGAGAGGAACATGACTTCCTCTTCACGTAACTGAAAAGAGAGCGAATGATGTGAAGTTTCAGAATCGCTGTGGACGACTCTTTCCCTTCTAACATTCTACTATTCCTCTTCTTCCATATACACTACCAAACCCAATGTGGTACAATTCTCCAATAATCTCGAACACCACGTCTCACATGACATTCTCTTTAAACATGAATCAACTCCTTAGGATAACGAGGCATAACCCAACGCATACCAAACAGACCAAAGATAAGATTCCAAGAGTCGCTCGCCACAGGACAATGCATTAGAATATGCTCAACTGACTCATCATCTTGTTTGCATTGGCAACACCAGTTAACAAAACAGTTGCCCCTTTTCCTTAGATTATTAATCGTCAGGATCTTACCCCAAACAGTGGTCTATTCAAAGAATGCCACCCTAGTTAGAGCCATAAAGCGTTAGACAGTCTTCCATGGAAAATCAACAATATCAAAATTAGAAAAACATAAGAATAAGGATCGAACTTTGAAGCGACCATGAGAAGAGGGAATCCATGTCAGCTCGTCACAACCTCTACCAACTGCCTCCCGGCGATACAGCAAATCTTGAAAAGCACACATCTCGTTCAACTCCCAATCCTGAAAAGAACGTCGAAAGTGCACGTCCCACGTAATCCCACTACTATCAAGCCGATAACAATCAGTTACGTAGGCATGTCTATCAACTGTAGTACTGTATAATCTGGGAAATGAACTAGATAAAGGCCGATCTCCACACCAAAGATCCTCCCAAAATCGAACACATTTGCCATCACGAACTTTGAATCTGATGTGAGAAGAAAAAGCATCCCATCCCTTCCAAATGGATTTCCACGCTCCTATTCCTCCCACGAGAAAAACCGGACGAGTAAACCAACCACCATTCTCTTCCCCATACCGGCATGAAACAAGCCTTCGCCAAGGGCGATGCCTTTCCCTCCCGTACCTCCACATCCATTTGCTTAAAAGAGCTTGATTAAAGGGAACCAGTCTTCTGATTCCAAGACCACCAAACTTCATGGGCATACAAACTTGTTCCCAATTGACAAGGTGATACTTAAACTCTTCTCCACTTCCGCCCCAAAGGAAATCCCTTTGAATATTTTCAATCCTAGCAGCAACAGAGCATGGAATTTGGAACATAGATAAAAAATATGTGGGAAGGCTCGATAAAGTGCTCTTTATAAGCGTAACTTTCCCCCCCTTAGACAATTATTGCTTTTTCCATCGTGCCTCTTCGCATACCTATCAATCACAGGGTCCCAACTCCCCACTGTTCTAGAGGAAACCCCTAAAGGCAAGCCCAACTACGGAATGGGAAAAGAATTCACTCTACACCCAAGGACTGCAGCTAAAGATTAGATATCCTGAACATCCCCAACCGGATCAAGCACGCTTTTAGCCACATTGACCTACAAACCAGAGACAGCCTGAAAACAAGCCAAGATGCACCTCAAATATCTAAGCTGAGAAACGTCAACTTCATAGAACACCAGGGTGTCATCCGCAAAAAGTAGATGAGAGACCTCCGTCATGGCTATCATATATGCTAACAATATATATGTATATATTATTTTTTTTCATATCATGGTAATGATTAATCTTAGCTCACAAATTGTTTAGCTAATGAGTTACCTTTCTGAATTTGCTTTTTCTATCCCTAAAGAATTCTGAAACTTATGCTAACTTGATTTTAATGTTTCTTTAATAGCATTTGTTTCCTTTTCTTTGTCTTATTAAGTAATGATACTCTTCTGAATTTTGCTCTTAGTTATGAGGGAATTATTATGAAAGGAAGAGGTAAAGTTTCTAACATTAAGTTGAATAATAATATTATTTTTTAACATTCTAATGTAAATAAGATAATTATGAAAAGAAAAAAAATGTAAATAAGATGGTATTTCAAAGGGCCATTAAATTGGGGTGCATTTTTTATTATTTTTAAAAAAATGATACACAACTATTAAATTAATTTTGTTTTGTACATTTCAATAGTGAAAGAAAAGGGTAACTATTATTTATGTAAATATAGTATATTATCGATAACGTTTTTCCAATACATTTTTGGAGGAGTTGATGATGTCGATTTTGTTGTCTCTATATTCCTAAATCAGTATTGGAGAGGAAGAATCTGTATAAATTGAAATAGTGCTAATTTCAACTCCTTTTTTCCCCTTGCTTGTTTGTTTGCTGTTTTTTTTTTTGGTTCTCTTGTATAAATGATTGAAGGAAAAAGGAGAATTTTATTGTTAAGTAATATACAAAATATTTTAAAAAAAAGCCATTAGCCTACATATATCCCTTATTGGAAGGAGAAGATTGGAGACATAACTAAACCTTAGCATTACTTTGCAAAAAGTGGTTGCTACATGAGCCCAAGTCGTCATGCTTGTCAACTCAAGTGTTTATTGTTGTACCAAATAATAACCCCTTACATAAAATATTTAAACGTGTATCTATTTTAACAAGACCAATAGTTTTTTTTCTTCTCAGTAATTGGACCAATATTCTTTTATGTCCAAATTACTAACATTTTCTCTCCTCTTGTGTGATTGCTTTCGATTTTTATATGGTGCAGGGTTGAGCTTTGGAGTTGATGCAATCATGGATTTAGATGGAACTTTGTTGTTAGAAGAAATAGTGCAAGCAAAAGAGGTTAGGGGCCTTTCAATCTATTGATCATAAAACTTAACTTATTTGACATTTAGGCTATGGGCAAAGGAGTTTATTGCTGTGGGTAGATGCGGCATGTTTTTAAAGTTGAAAGAGAGAACGCGGGGGGGGGGGGGGGGGGGGGGGGGGGGTGGGTGTTTGTAGATATTAGGATGTGTGTGCGCACTTTTCTACACTACCAAGTAGAGCCTTAAAGCGATAGATTATAGTAATTGAGAAAGGAAAATAAATAAAAATGATCTACATATCTCATATTTGAGTATATACCTTTCTTTATATTGAGTATATATGTATATACCTCACATTTGTGTTGGTATTGCGTGATGTGGTTAAAAGAAGAGTTCTACTTTTTGAATATGATGATGTGATTTTGTTCTATTGCAGCACTTGCGCACCCAATACGATGAATTATTTCCTGCATTATGTAGTGATTATCCTGATATATTTCCACCAGAGCTGTACACATGGGAGCAGTTCTTGTGGGCTTGTGAACTCTGGTACTCTAACAGCATGAAAGTTATGTATAATGATGGAAAGCTGCAGACATGCTTGATTCCTATTGCAGGCTTTCTCAATCATTCGGTATTTCACGCTCTTCTCTACATGTTTTTTTTTTTTTTTTTTTTTATCTTTTCCCTTTCATTTTAGATTTGTGGGGTTGGAAGTGATGCAGGACAGTTGAGAGAATGAGAGAGAGGAAGAAGAAGAGAGAAAGAGAAAATAAGTCGTCGAGGGAGAAGAAAATCAATGATAATAATCTCTGTAATTAATCAGTATTTCCTTCACAATCTATCAAACCCACTAATATATAGGCATAACAATAGAAATTATGGAACTCTAATAGGAAATATAAAATCCTACTACCAAAAATAAAACCCTAAAAATACTAAATTACTAAAATATCCTAAGATTAAAGTATTACTCAATATAATAATTATAAATGAAAAATTAGGCCTAATTATCTATCTTTACCACGTCTCGTCGTCTCCAATAGTAAATGCGAAATACGTGCACTTCAAGCTCTCAGATCATATCTGGTTCTCCATCAATCCCCTCCGGTTGAGAAGAACTTTCCTCCGGAGAGTAAATGCATATGTACATCTCCAAAAAGTATGAACCAACACAACGAAGCCCATCATTTAGGCTCCATATGGAACTGGATAACCTTTCCATCGAACAAGGTAATACTGAATATTTCCAAGATGAGAAGCATCACTCTGATGGTAAAATACATTCTCAATCCAATCCATATAATGCAGCTGAGAAGGTGGAAGAACTAATACTGGTGCCAAGGAAAATCTAACTGCACCTGTTGGAACACATGCCAATAAAATAAGAGGCTCAAAAGTGCCTCAGTCACCTAACAAATACTACACATCAAAAATTGAATTAGTACTTGTATCCAATGAGCAGTCAAAGAAATTTGCATAAGGTCTTGATTTATAAATGATATGGAAAATTCTAACAATTTGGGCATGTTTTATCTAGGAGGAGTTTTTTGGACAAGGTTGAGATAGTGCACAGATTATAGCATAATCTACTTCAATTGATTCATGATTTCCATAATCTCATTCAATTGATTCATGATTTCTATGATAAATGTATGCAGTAAGTTCGTAATTCTTATTACTCAAGAATTTCTTGTCGCATATTGACATGAAAATCATGGACAAGCTGAACAAAGGAATCAAGTAATTCAAGCGAATACATATATGGAGGCGAATGATTATAATCAATGGAATGACATGGTAAAGAATTGTAAATAATCCCAAAAGAACAATTATCAATATTTTGATTAGTTAAACTAGTATAAACATACTCTATTATAGGCAATAGCACGTTCCAAGTATCCAGGTGCACTCTAACAACAAAACTAACAAACTCTCCTAGACCTTGGTGGCTTGGTTAACGATCTCAATTTTTCAATCAGTTTGAGAACATGATGCAAAAGAAAATTTTAGATTTGTCCCTAAAAATGTCCAAAGTGTCTTCCAAAATTACTGTGGTACTTGACATCCCTATTTGACACAATAGAAGTGGATGGCTCTTGATGTTTCACAATCTCTTTGAGGCTATCGTGAATTGTGTGTGACATCGGATAATTGTGATTCTAAAACTAATGCAATGGTGTTTTGCAATTAGTTTGATATTAATCAAATGTTACATCTTTAATTTCATTTAAATTAGTGCATTTAGGTGGTGGAGAATCCAACACTTCCTCAGATGTGACATGGGGAACTTGATTAGTTACTTCTTTTTCTTATTTTACCGACGCACGAGATACGTGACTACTTCCAAAATACTCTTTTTCAGCTGCATCTTGACAAATGGAAGCGACTAATTTTGCGAAATCAGTAAACAAAAAGCCCAGATTGTAGAGCTTTTGAAAGAAAGGCTTAAGAATTTTAGCACAGTTGTTGAGGACTTCTTCTCCTATCTTGTACGATTGAGGTGGAATAATTTGATTTTCCTTCTTAACTCCCCTTAAAAGGTGTTCAAACATATCAACAATTAATTCATTGCAGGCCAAATCAAGCATTACCAAACATGGCAATTGTGTGAAGTATCAAGATAGCCTTTTTGTAGCAAGGGTTAGAAATACGAGACAACTTCCCAAAATCTGTAATATTTACCTGAAAAATCTCCTTTAATTGCTCTTCATTAAAAGGCTCATTTGGTGCAACAATTCTCATGATCTTATTAAAGCAAGACACGACAAAAATTCTCATGTCCATGTTTGAGCGTTTGTGTAAATTCTTTGCGAGTAGTGCCTTTATTGATGTAGGCAATGCAGCTTGAATTGATGCAGACGGTTCTTGTCCCACCTTGAATAAAAGATGCTCTAGCTCATCAAGTAGGCTGAGAAGTTCATGAACAGATGAGGGAAACATAAGAAGCCTGTTTCAAATATTTAGGAGTTGTTAGACTACTTTCTTTTCAACAACTCTCTTTGTCCCTCTTTCATCTTCACACTAGTCAGCTTGATTTTCGCGTAATAGGAAGCTTGGTCTGTGCTCAATACTCTTAGTCTTGCTTGGCTTAGAAGACAGCCATTGGGGACATGAAACGATGTTCTCTTCTGACATCATTATGAAAATGTCCCAGCTAGATCAGTTCATTGGAGGATTTGTTGCACAGGGTGGTTGTTGGGCATAGTTTAAGGCAGGCTGCTGATGATGATTGAGGCATGCAGATATGGTTACAGGGACATATGCTGATATTTGACTTTAAATTTAATTAAATAATTCAAATTATTAATTTTTACGATGCACAAGCAAGAAACCAGAATGCAATTAAAGTGATTATGCCAAAATTCATGCACTGGTTGTAGGTATTTAGGTGCAAAATTCAAGTGAAAGGTAAAATATAATAGGTAATGAGAATGAATAAAGGAGCCATTGATGCAAATAAAAAGGTTAAATTGTTTTTTGGAGCTCAATGGATCTTGTTGCGCATTTCTAGACTAAGCAAATAGATAAAAGTACTGATCACAATTTTTAATTGAAGCATGTGTACCTTTTTTGAAGTCCTTTGTAGCTCCCAAGTCTTGAAGGCTATGAAAAATGGTTCCAATAATATTGCTGAAACTGATTCAGTTCTGGATTGGTTCCAGAACTAGGTTACTCTTGCGTTTGTAACCAAACAACTTCAGCAGAAAAGGCAGAGAGAGGAAGGTTGCATCGGCGACTGGTCAGTAAAGAAGACAATGTCGGAGAGTGCGACGACGGTGGCAAAATAAGATACCAATGATTTCTGAAGACGTTGATATGCTGGCAGTTTCAACGACGGTGATGACCTGAAGTTACGGCGACAACTACATCTTGAGAAGATTCCGACAATGGTTGTGGCAGATTTTGGCGAGATCGACTCAGGAGATGACAAATGACGGTGGTTTCAATTTTTGATGATGTCCTTGTCGTTAAGGGTGAGATGGGTTGTGGGTTACGAATGTTTGTTGGTTTGATGTGTGCAAGAGATGATGGGTTTGTTTGGGGTTGAGTGTTTTGGGTGCTTGGGTGTGTGTTTTCTCGATTAGGGTGTGTTTGGGTTATGGATGGTTGTGATGGCAGTGATTAAGTTAGGGTTTCGATTGGCTTTGGTACAGTGGTTAGGTTGTTCATTGGGTTTATTATGTGCGATGAGTTGCACGACAGTGGGCCAATGACGATGAAGGTTGTGGGTTAGTTTGTTACCGGCGGTGAATAAGGCTTGTTTGGGGTAACTGATGTGTGTCAATAATAAAAGACCACTTGCAATAGAACGAATCATTATAGGATAGGGCTATGTTGAGGGTGTTCAACCTCAAGGACTGTGGTGGATTGTCAAGTATAAAATTAATCCTAATTTAATTCAAGAGAAATATGATTTTGTTGTTTAACTATGACTAAATTGCAATAAAACTGAAAATAAACTAAATTATCATGGGATAAGATCAAAGTGAGAAGAACTTAGGTATTGACTTCACCGCTAGCCTCGTAACATGGTCAATTGCTTCAACTATGGGGAAATTAAAACTTATGTATATTCAGGAATCAAGTGGCTATTAGCACACTTTAATTCAATTAAGAAGGCATATATGAATAAATACTAAGCCATAACTCATCTTCAGTTGGCACGAATTGTCTACCTAACTACTCTAATCTAGGGTGCATTACAACTCGTCTTCCCTTGGCATGAATTATCAAAACATTCATTCATACATATTCAATTAAGCACCATTGCATGATCACTACTTAAACTGTTAAGAAAAGCCCTTAGCCGTCAATCTCTCACAATAAAAATAGTTTGAGTTTGATTAAAGCAAAATTAATTCTAAGACGAGATTAATTTCATCAAAAACCAATTAATTTCATTAAAAACCCAATTGCTTAGGAATACTAAGTCAGTTGCTCACAACCATGCAATCAATATACATATAAAAATCCCCAAAGTTAAAAGCAATCAAACCATGATACTCGGACTAGGGTTATATCAATGCCCTAAGATGGAGTTTAGCTACTCACGGAGAGGGAGGATATCATCATTGTTGGTGTAGAAGCCATCTCCATGGACCGCCAATTGGAATTTTCAATCTTCAAAACCGTAAAAGCCATCACAAGGTAGGAGAACCAAGAGAGAGAAGAGAGAGAGAGCTATTAATGTCTTCTCATCTTCTTTTATGGTGGAGAACAAGTCCTAACCCTTCTTGGATGGGCTTTACAGCTTCTGGAGACATCTTGGCCCGTTTGAGACCACAAAGGTTGATTTTACAACTTTCTTGCACCTGTTTTTAACTCCCAGGCAAAATAGCGCTCGAGCCCTAAATCCCATACTTAGCCAAATTTTCGCCGAAATTTTCCATAGCGTCTTCTTCCAAACACTAAGCCAATTTTTTAGAATGGCGCTCGAGCACTGTTTTCAACAATTAGTTTTTTTCAGCAAATTTTTCCGACGTTGTAACGTTATTTTGACATATTTGGAGTGCGAATCTTGAAATTGCTATTAGACACAAAAACGTTGGGCTTCGAGTCTTCTTTTTATAGCTGTTGAGTTTGCCCAATTTGGAGTTTTGAGTAAAAAGTTATGCCCTGAAGCAGGCCCAGAATTTTCATTAGTGCTCGAGCCCTAAAGCCTGAAACTTCACCAAATCTTTTTGGTTGAGTCCCGGATTGACCCGGAAGTCCCCAAACATGTCTCTAAGTATCGGGAACATCACAATAAGCTCTAAATACATGGAATTAACCGTCTCTTTGGGTAAAAACCTATGAAATGCAAATAAACAAAAATAAACATAAGAACCGGATAAAAATATCACTAAGGCTTTAACATATGCACGATTAAGGGCTTAAATATGCAATATTCATTGCTTATCAGTAACGACCAAGGTTTACGGTTTTAGGTTGCGGCTAGTAAAGGTGGTGGTTTTGGGTGGATGATGAACATTGGGTACTGGAGTATTCTGTTTGTGCATGAACAATAGGCAGTGGTGTTTGCTATGTGATTGCTGAATAACTTGAATATTTCGTTCTGATACCAAAATTGACGCAGGACAGTTGAGAGAATGAGAGAGAGGAAGAAGAAGAGGCAAAGAAAGAGAAGAAGTTGAGGGAGAAGAAAATCAATGATAATAATCTCTGTAATTAATCAATATTCATGAAAAAGTACCTTTGCAATGTATCAAACCCACTAATATATGGGCATAACAATAAAATCCTAAAAAAACCTAAATTACTAAAATATCCTTCTTCCATAGTAAATTCGAAATACGTGCATTGCCCGAGTCAATAAAAGAGTTCAGATATAATAATAGTAGCTTCAGCGGTGGTTAGATTGGAAGAACTTTAGAGGGATTTTCCGGGGGTGGAAGGGTTAAAGAGTTTAGATATCATCTTTTCCATTAAAGGATGGTTTGTCTCTTGGTTAAGAAAGGTTTGATATTACGAATTTGAGGATCTTTAAACTAGTTTGGGAGCATTGTTCAGGAGGTAGCTCAGAATTAGAAGTTTAAGGTAGTGGACTCAATAAAAGTATTTTATACAGGGTCATTGTCAAGGGTTGGATGAGAATTTGTTATGCTGGAAACCCTCCAAGAGCAAAGGCACTTGGAAGATGAAAATGCTCTCAAAGGTTGCCTTTGTTGCCTGTTTTATTTTGAGAAATTCTTTTTGATAGTCTAGAACCTGTAAAAGCGGGATATTGTAATTCCTTGATGGTGTTCTATGTGCAAGAGTGTCGAGAAGATGGTAAATCGTGTGCTATTACACTATGGAGTTTGAGTTGTGCTCCCATTTGATAGTAATCTTTTTTTATTAATCCCTTTGCTGTAATAAACTACATTACTTAATTATAATAACATTTTTCTGGATTGTTTTGTCACATTTTCTGTTGCTTAGAAGTTGTCAGTTTCCACTATGAGAGAAATATGGCCCTTGTCATTGCAGGATCTCAAGAAAGAAAAGGGGAAAAAAAAAAATATATATATATATAGTTTTGATGATTACAATTATTATGATCAGGACAGTCTGTCTTATCTTGTAGGTTGGAGCCAACTGTGTGGTTGATCAAATGTGCATATTTCTCAGTTGTCATAATCTTTTTTTATATTGTTTTGCTTGCTCATGTTCTCGTTTTGTTCCCTTTTACAGATATGCCCGCACATAGTGCACTATGGCAAAGTAGATTCTGCTGCAAATTCCTTAAAATTCCCTTTGTCAAGACCGTGTTATGCTGGAGAACAATGCTACCTTAGCTACGGGAACTTCTCTAGTTCTCATCTCGTTACCTTCTATGGTTTCTTACCACAAGGGGACAACCCGAATGATGTCATTCCACTTGGTAATTTTCTTGATGTTTACTTTTCAAAAGAAGAAAAATAAAAAAATAAAATAAAATCTTGATATTTACACTTCTGTACAATTTTTTTGGCAAATGTACATGTATGTTCCTGTATATGCATGACTGTGTATCGGTGTATGTACATTGTGTCAATTGTGCAACTATACTATTCTAAGTTCTCCCTTGTTTTCATCAAGATTCTTTACATCATATCTCATTCCTTGTTTAACTGCAGATATTGATGCTGATTGTGCTGAGGATGTATGCCCCGTGTCTTATTGGACAAACCACATGGTGCGAGGTACTTGGTTCTCAAAGAACCACAAGATCTTCCATTATGGGTTGCCGCCTCCTTTATTAGATCATCTCCGCAGAGCTCGGGATCCTGAGTTACAAACCAATGCCCCAGTAATTAATTCTCACTTCTTGCGACACTCATTTAATATTATTCTTAGTGGACGAGTGCTTTTATGCTTATTTTTGTTTGCAATTGACGTGAATTCTGGCACAAAATTCCAAGAAACTTGCTTTGCCATCCAACAAGCATCACTTTGTATTGCATTTTGTCCTCCAATTTGAGTGGGGGGCTTGAGCTTGATGGCGGAAGCCTTTTGTGTTTTTGTCTTTTCAACCATTTAGGATTTTTCATATATATATATATATATATATATTTTTTTTTTTAGACGCAAGAGAACTTGGAGATAGAACTGGAAGTTCTTGAAGATCTTCGCGTTACCTTCGAGGGCATGTTGGAAATACTCAACGACACAAAACTTGGCGAAAGGTAAATAACTCCCTATAAAGCCTGTAGTACATTATTTATAGTTGGAAGGGATGTTAAAGTTCCTGTTCTGAGGAAGGGTTTTTCTTATATTGGCAGGAAAAGTAGCGGTTGGGATGTAAAGCTTGCATTGGATTTCAAAGATGTACAAAGAAGGATAGTCTCCTCGATTGTAACTTCGTGTTATGCTGGTTGCAAGTTGGTGGAATGCGAATTGAGCAAATGTATGGCTTAGGACAGTCGTGGCTTGATGAGCTGGCTGGAATATGTCTCTGCTTTCTGACCAAGAATTACTTAATTTTCCAAGGTAAGCAATAGATTAGCCCACCGCTATGCTGTTTTGGCAGTTCTACTTACCTTATTCCTTAGTAAGAGTTTATTTACCAAAATTAGGCCAAGTTATTATTGACCTATGGAATTCTTGTCATCAGCAACACAAAGCATGAGTTCTATTCTATGCAGCGATTGATTGAGATTCTCAAAGCAATATGACAAGTGTTTCTTATTCTTATTGATTAATTTTATTTTTATTATGCCCTCACTTACTTCAATGGAAAAAAATACTATTTATTACTGATGGAAATGAAAAAGATTATGCCCTCACTTAATTCATTATAATTAGGGAGCTGCTATTAGCGCTCCACTCTTATCCTCTCGCCCTTCACTTTACAATTTTGAATGATAATATAATAAACTTGCCCTTCTCATTATAATTACGAAGCTGCTATTAGCACTCCACTCTTATCTTCTCGCCCTCCACTTTACAATTTTGTATAATAATGTAACCAACTTGCCCCATGTCATTCATATCTACAAGGACAATATTGTCAATTTGTTTTAGTATAATAAAGTTTGGAACGCCAATGTAATTTTTTTTTTTTTTTTGATAAGTTAGAGTAATTTTCTTAAGTGTGAATATCACTATCCTATAATTATAAGGGTAAATCGCACTCACATTGAGGTTTTGGTCAGTGCCACTCAGATGACTATCAATGGCTTTTTTTACATTGATTCCTGTGAGGTTTCAAAAATTTGCATTGACACTTTTCTAGACCTCTAAGACCATATGAAATTACCATTTAACCTTTTAACTTGTCAACAATTTTATTTAAATTATGAAGTTACAAATTTAACCTCCTAACTAATTATAATGAACCATACTAACCTCTTCATCTCTTTATATATTGAGGAGGCCCCGGACGACATGGGCCGGATCTGACTCGCAAACACAACATTCAGTTCGAATAGCTGGGTCGGCCCATATAAAGACACTGCCATATGGGCCGAACGGGAAGAAGCCCATCAAAGGTGACCAGGGCTTATGGAGGAATAAGCCCAGATCCAGCAATCAGTAAATATCTTGAAAATATCTTGTAAATATCTGATAAATATCTATAAATAGGATATGGAATGGGAAGGAGGGAGATCTTTTTGGGTTGAGGTGTAAGAATTCTAGAGAGAGAAAAGAGGAGAGGGAATTTCTTGCATCTTCAATTGGCGCCGTCTGTGGGAAACGCATAAAAGTTTGGTTGATCAATGAGGAATATCGAATGGATTCAAACCAATTCGGTTGATCGAGACTCGATCTTTGGGATTTGAATCCAGATCTGAGCGATTGTGACCTACTCTGGAGGAATTACAATTCTTGAAGCTTTGGCAGGAGTGACTTCAGATCTACGCAACAACGAGTTGTTCGATTGTGGCAGGATCTGACGGATTTAGAGTTCAAACAATTCAGATCTTGTAAATAGTGAGCATAATTCGGAGAATTAGAAGCCAGATCTAAAAATTCCTACTCACGAAGCTCGGATCTACTCGCGAACTTGAGATTAATGCCTTTACTCCGTTCGGGAATAATGATAGGTGAAAGCTCCAATCCGATGGAGGCTGTCCAGCAAACAAAGCTTGAGGAGTTGATGAACTTGATTGAAGCTCTCAAAAAAGAGAATGCAGAATTGAAAGCTGGACTGCAACATCGGCAAATACCTGCGGTTTCGCATCCACTTCTAGTCGGAGAAGGAGGTGTTCAATCTAATATCGCGCATCAAGGCGAACAGGACGAGAACAATCAGTCAGCTCACCACCGTGATGAAAGGATGATGGACAATTTGCCGCCAAATGTTCGTCGAGTTGAAGATCACGAAGGATCGACTCACGTTGATCCGCAGCGGGAAAGGTTCGACCGAGAGGAAGTGATGGAGGCTGATCGCCGTCGAATAGCGTCGCCTTGGCAAAGAGAGTTCATAGAGGAGCGGTCATTCGATCCGTCTTACCGGCCCTCCATGGTTACTATCACTCATCACGGTTCGGAGGGCAGAACCGTAACTCACAGAGCTACCGCTGGACTCCAGAGAGAGAATGAAGCTCTCCGATCCGCAGCTCGGACGGTGGATTCACCATTCACCGACGAGATCTTGAATGCCCCGCATCCAAGGAAGTTTGCTATGCCAGTCTTTATTCTGTTCGACGGAACGACCGATCCGATCGATCATGTGTATCATATCCAGTTGAAAATGGCCCTGAATACGGAAAACGACTCTTTAATGTGCAAATGTTTCCCTACAAGCCTTGCCGGACCGGCGCTCAGCTGGTTCAAAAACTTGCCTAGGAGCTCCATTGGTAGTTTCAGAGACCTGTGCGATCGGTTCATAAGCCAGTACTATGGGAACAAACGCCCGCCGAAGGACATCTCGAGCCTATTCACGATGAGGCAGCACAAGGATGAACGTCTCCAGGCCTTTCTTACCAGGTTTAATCTCACTAAGAGTATGGTGATCGAATGCCACCCTTCTACGGCAGTTCAAGCCTTCAAGTTAGCCATGACACGCGGAACTCCGTTTCACACCAGTCTGGTAGTGAACACGCCGACTACTATGGATGAACTCAATGAGAGAGCCGATGGCTTTGTGCGCCTAGAAGAAGAGGAGGCAGCTAATGCTCGGACAACGTCGCTTGTGTCGACCGAGGAAAAGTCCAAGGCAAAGATCAGGCAGAAGCAGGCTCAGCCACAGCGTCAGACCTCTTGGAAGGCAGAAAAAATGTCCAGGGAGGAAGAGTTGATTACTCCGCTGAAGGTCACTCTGGCGAGGCTGTATCAGGAGAACAAAGACAAGTTTCATCCACCACTGCCAATTAGGCAACCCCTCGAACAGAGGGATCAAACTAAACATTGTGCTTTTCATTCTGATTTCGGTCATCAGACTAACGAATGCAGGAACCTGAGGAGGCAAGTGGAGATGTTGATAGCTAGAGGGGAGTTCGCGAGTTATGTTCAAGGTTCGGCGATGGAGCAGAATCGACCGGTGGAACAAGTAAAAAGGAGTCATAAACAAAGCTCCCACAATTCACAACCAGTTCGTATAATCAATGCTATCCATGGTCGACCCGAGCCTAGTGAAGAGTCAGATGAGCTGCTCCGGGTGCGCCTGCGGCAGGCGCAGATGAAGAAAAGGGTCGGCAATGTGACTACTCTACACCAGCAGAGCCCGTCGATGCAGATAAAGTTCGACTGGACAGACCTGCAGCGTGTTCAACTGCCTCATGACGACCCGTTGGTAGTCAGTTTGACAGTGGCAGATTGCTTGGTGCGCAGAGTTCTGATCGATCCTGGGAGCAGTGCGAATGTTATGCCGAGGGACACATTTGACAGGCTCGACATTAAACCAGAGAGACTCAAGCCCACCGGAAATCCCTTGTTAGGGTTCGATGGGAAGAGGGTGGAACCCGTTGGGATGGTGGAAGTGGAAGTTCAAGCTGCAGAACGAGCTCTTATGGAAACTTTTGTGGTTGTGGAAATTCACCCCTCGTATAATCTCCTGATGGGAAGAGGATGGATTCACAGAGTCCGAGGTGTACCCTCAACTCTGCATCAGGTCATGAGGTGCCTCGGGCCCGATGGAGATAAAGTGATAGACATTCGGGGGGATCAGGTCGCAGCCAAGGAGTGTTATTCCGTCACACTAAAGCATGCTGGGAAAGGAAAGGCGCCCGTCCGTTCGGCAAGCCCCAGATATCAATTACAGGAGCCTCCGCTCGAGCAGAATAGGGTGGAGGAGTCAGTCGAATTGACCGAGGAGCCCCTTCTGGATGTGCAGATCGATCAGTCCAGGCCAGAACGAACTACCAGAGTAGGTATAAGACTGACCAGAGAAGAGCAGCAAGAGCTAGTGGATTTCTTGTCCCGCAATGCCGACGTGTTTGCATGGAGTCACCTAGACATGCCTGGAATTAGTCCCTCCATATCCTGTCATTCCCTGAATGTCAATCCCAATTTCAAACCAGTGAAACAGAAGCAGCGAAGATTTGCTCCAGAACGTAATCAGATCATAGCGGAAGAAGTCGATAGGCTGCTTGATGCGGGATTTATCAGAGAGGTGCACTACCCTGAGTGGTTGTCCAACGTCGTTGTTGTGCAGAAGAAGAATGGGAAATGGCGAGTATGCATTGATTTCACAAATTTGAACAAAGCCTGTCCGAAGGACAGCTTCCCGTTGCCTAAGATTGATCAAATGGTGGATGCCACCACTGGGTATGAGCGTTTAACCTTTCTGGACGCATATTCAGGTTATAATCAGATTCCTATGGACCCCGCAGATGAAGAAAAAACTTCTTTTGTCACCGAGCGAGGAACATACTGCTACAAAGTTATGCCTTTCGGGCTAAAGAATGCGGGAGCAACTTATCAAAGACTTGTTAGCAAAGTTTTTAAGAATCAAATGGGTAAGATTGTGGAAGCCTATATTGATGATATGGTGGTAAAGAGTAGGAAAAAGGATGATCATCTGAAGCATCTGCAAGATGTATTTGATGTACTAAAGCGATATGGGATGAGGCTCAATCCGACCAAGTGCTCGTTCGGTGTGAGTTCCGGACAGTTTCTGGGACACGTGGTCAACCGCAGGGGCATCGAAGTTAGCCCCGCTCAAGCAGAGGCTTTGATTAAGAATGCCGAGCCAAAGACGATCAGAGAGGTGCAAGCCCTCACAGGACGAGTAGCTGCATTAAGTCGATTTATTTCAAAATTGTCAGATCACTGCAAACCATTCTTTGACACGATTCGGAACCATGGAAGGCAGGTCTGGGGGGATGAGCAACGACAAGCATTGACTCATTTGAAGGAATATATGCAGAATCCACCAGTCCTGTCAGCCCCAGAACCGGAAGAAAAGTTATTTCTATATCTTGGAGTATCTGGTGTCGCGACGAGTGCCGTTCTGATTCGTTGCAAGGAAGGGGTGCAATACCCGGTATTTTATGTAAGCAAAACACTGACGGAGGCAGAAAGAAGATACTCAAAGGCCGAACGGGTGGTACTTGCCCTTGTAAATGCAAAAAGAAAGTTGAGGCATTATTTCGAATCCCACCCCATAGCTGTTCTAACAACTTTCCCAATCAGAACGCTTATGCACAAGCCAGAGCTCTCGGGCAGAATGACAAAGTGGGCCATAGAGTTGAGTTCATTTGACATAACGTATGAGCCGAGAACAGCTGTTAAGGGGCAAGCGGTAGCCGATTTCCTACTAGAATGTGACACCGAAGATACGGAAGAGGACCTTAGATGCGGCTCTTGGAAACTTTTTGTGGATGGCTCCTCTAACCAGATGGGGGCTGGGATTGGGATCAAACTGCAAACACCAGAGGGTACTTCCTTGAGTCAAGCACTCAGACTTGAATTCCGAGCCACCAATAATGAAGCGGAATACGAGGCGTTGCTAAATGGATTAAAGTTGGCCAGAGAGCTACAGATCAAAAGTTTGACAGTGTATAGTGACTCGCAGCTGATTGTTCGACAGGTAAATGGTGAGTACGCGACCAAGGATGACACGATGGGGGCATATCGTTCTGCCGTTCTGCATAGAGCCAAGGACTTTGCAAATATCGAATTCATACAGCTCCCGAGGGAACAGAATGCAGATGCAGACCGTTTAGCATGCAGTGCTTCGAGTTGCGGTGAAACATTGGCGAGGGTGATTCCAGTAGGAATAGTGACCCAGCCCTCTATTTTCGAAGAACCGTTGGACTCTGACCCTTGGCAAGTCAACATCATACCGTATGAACCGAGTTGGATTGACCCCATCATTACCTATATTCGAGATGGCGTTTTGCCTATGCAAAGGGATGAAGCTAGGAGACTCAAAAAGAATGCTGCCAAGTACGCCATCGTGCGGAACCAGCTGTACAGAAGGTCCTACTCTGGCCCATACTTGAAATGCGTCACCCCCGCGGAGTCGCAGCAGGTATTGCGAGCTATCCATGAGGGTGTGTGTGGCAATCATTCTGGGGGGCGATCGTTAGCGCATAAAGCAATGACACAAGGGTATTTCTGGCCAAACATGTCAAGAGATGCGGAAGAGTTCTCTCGAAGGTGCGATAAATGCCAACGATATGGACCATTGATCCACCAACCACCTGAGGACTTGCACGTAATGGCCTCGCCATGGCCTTTCGCGCAATGGGGGATGGATGTGGTCGGTCCTCTGCCAACTGCAAGAGCTCAGAACAAGTATGTGTTACTGGCCACGGATTACTTCACTAAATGGGTGGAGGCAGAACCGTATCCTAGCGTGACTCAGACTCATGTGAGACGATTTATTTGGAACAATATTATCTGCCGTTTCGGTGTTCCCAGATCAATAGTCATGGACAATGGCACAAACCTCGACAGCAGGCAAGTAAGAAAGCTGCTGGAGGAGTATGGAATCAACCAGAAGTTGGCTGCAGTAAGTCATCCTCAGGCCAACGGACAAGCAGAAATCACAAACAGAACCATTTTCGCCTGCATTAAGAAGAAGCTGGAAGATCATAAGGGGAAGTGGTTGGATGAACTCCCGAACGTTCTATGGGCTTACAGAACCACCCCAAGGCGGCCGACTGGGGAGAGCCCGTTCGCAATGGCGTATGGCACCGAGGCAGTTATACCGGTTGAGCATTTAGTCCCCACTATCAGAAGCTTAGTATGGAGTCGAGATCAGAACGACAAGATGTTAAGATTGAACCTCGATATGATAGACGAAAGGAGGGACGCAGCGGCTATAAGGCTAGCATCGTATCAGCAAGTGCTGGCGAATAATCACAACAAGAGAGTAAAACACAGGGATTTTGCCCCTGGCGATCTGGTTCTGAAAAGAAAGGTGGGGATGGTCAAAAAAATGATGCCACCCTGGGAAGGCCCATACAGAATTGCAGAAGTCATTGGCAAGGGGGCATATACGTTGGAAACCATGGCGGGAAGGCTGGTCAGCAAGCCTTGGAACGCCACGTCTCTGAAGAGGTACTACCAATAAAAGCTAAGTTCCGGCTTCAATTGGATGTTGTTTGTTGTCAATCAAATACATATGAATGAGCAAGTTACTGAAATTTACAAAAAAAGAATTTTCTTTTCCAACGGTCTACTATAAAAACTTAAAGCCAAGTGGCAAGTGACATTCTAGCCGAGCGCCAGGCACTTGAGCAAGATAAGTGGCAGCTGGCACTATAAGCCGAACGCCAGACACTTGCTGAAAACTTAAAGCCAAGTGGCAAGTGGCATTCTAGCCGAGCGCCAGGCACTTAAGCAAGATAAGTGGCAGCTGGCACTATAAGCCGAACGCCAGACACTTGCTAAAAACTTAAAGCCAAGTGGCAAGTGGCATTCTAGCCGAGCGCCAGGCACTTAAGCAAGATAAGTGGCAGCTGGCACTATAAGCCGAACGCCAGACACTTGCTAAAAACTTAAAGCCAAGTGGCAAGTGGCATCCTAGCCGAGCGCCAGGCACTTGCCATAAACAAACACACGGCAAAGCTAATATAAAAGAAAAAGAGAGAAGAGATATGTATGTATTGAAGATAAGTTGAATAGAGCACAACACACAGGGAAAAAAGAGTTATGTCGTTTCATTAATATTGAGCATTGAGTTTACAAAAGAGAGATGTCCATCATTACAAAAAGATATGGAATGGAAGAATTCAAAGGAGCCCTAGCCAGACGCTTCAGTACCAACAGCATCCTGGTCGTGCCGACTCGCCTCCTCGGCCCCAACAGCCGTCTCACCTTCATGAGGTGGGGAATCAAGGTGAATGACTGAATCGTTCGGCTGGGGTTCAGCGTCAGCAGTGGCTATGGAAGGAACCACGGTTGACGATTGAGGAGCGGTCAGTGGCAGAGCGGTAGGAGGAGCTGTGATGATCCTGGAGGAAGCAATGTCCTGGCACTCATCAAATATACGCTCCGCTTCGGTGGGTTCTGGGTCGACATAGACCCCCAGAGGTTCGATCCCCAGGTCCTTGTCTACCTCATCCGGAGTGGAGCTGGTCTGTCCCTCATCCGGAACCCGGTCGGCGAAACCCTCCCGGAATCCTTGAGCATACCTAAGAGCACCGACCCTTGAGAACCGAGCGTGAAGGGCCAGCATCCCACCACCCACTCTGCTGATCGCGTCGATCAGAGCGGTACGCTCGTCCAGAGCTCTTTTTTCAAAAGCCATCCGAGCAGACTGTTCATCAGCTAGAAGGCGCTGGAGTTCTGCCTTCTCTTCTCTAATCGATTCCCGCTCGGTCTGCCAGACGCTCTTCTCAAGCTGGAGGGCGTCCTTCTCATCCTGAAGGGAATCATTCTCCTTCTTCAGGACATCTCTCTCTTGCTCGGTTTTGTCAAGCCGAGCCAGTACCTCGGTATTCTTCATGGCGAGGAGGTCGTTTTCTTTATTAGCCACCTCCAGGCTGTCAGAAAACTTGCGGGCCCTGGCGTTCCCCATCTCCACCTGCTTCTGCATGGCCATCATTCCGAACAATGTCTGCATAGGTGCACATTAAAAACGGTTAAGCCAATAGTCAGGTCGGGCGAAGGCAAGACCAGATAATATGAGAGAATGCATGAGTTAGAAAATAAAAGTCACCTCCATAGCAGATTGGGGAAAGCGGCTGAACACATCCTTCTGGGAAAGGCCCTTTGCCGCCTCAAGGTCCTTCGGAGTCCACATGCTCCTGTAGTAGGCCATAGCGGTCTGGCCATCCTTCAGCATGGTCTCGTTCGGTTTCACGAACGTCCCATCCGTTCGGGTGTACCGAGGGGCCCATGGCGGTAAGGTGGGGATAGAAGAGGGGCCTGAAGCAGAAGCAGAGCCACCAGCTGCAGCAGGCCCAGAGGGAGCAGGAGCTCTGACCGCTCGGTGCAAGAGAGCACCCGGCCCGGAGACCCGGGTCCTTCTAATGAAAGGCTCCTCCTCAGGATCGACTTCACTATCAGGATGAGGCCTTTTGCCTCGTTCTTTGTCCCGACCGCCCCCCGCAGCAGCAGGAGCTATGGTAGCTGGGGGGGACGCGTTCTGGTTGGCAGCAAGGGCGCTGGCAACAGGGTTAACAGCCACTGTGCTCGGGGCAGTGTCAGATATGGTGGCTGAGGAAGAAGCTGACGCTGGAGAGGAGGTCACCCCAGCAGCAGGAGTGGCTGGGGGAGTGTTTTTCTTCCTGCCAAAAGAAGGAATCTGAAGTCTGCTCATGTTGTAGCTGAGTGATGAGAGCGCTAAGAGGTTGTCTGAAGTGAGGAGATCTGAGCAGGAAGGAATATCGTTCAGAACGTATTTCTTCAAGTAGTTACTCCTATCCCTGCAAACACTATAGCTCAAGTCATCACAAGGTATTCCCAAGGAACGGCATAAGAAAGTGCAAAAACGAGGAACGCATGTTTCGCAGGGGCAGTCATGTTTATGAGATTTGAATTTCTTATAGGAGGAGACAGAACAGACACCAAAGGCGCTCGGGATTGGGTAATCCTCTGCAGCCGGCGAAGACCAAGCCCCACTAATGCCCACTATGCTATCCCTCCAACCCTTTTCAGATTTTATTGTGTCCGTACATATGGACATCTTCTCGAACGGGTAGAGGTGGTAGAAGGGTTCGTTAGTACGGATCTTACTGACCTTATAGCACAGAAGGAGGTCTATGAGGTCGAGGTCCAGATTTCTGTCACGCATCAACAAGAGCATAACAGATATGATTCTAAAGAAGTTGGGGTTGACCTGCAGAGGGGATATCCCCAATCTATTGAAGACATAACTAAAGAAAGGGTGCAGAGGGAACCTAACAACATTCAATTGAAGGTTCGTGAATAAGACTTCGCCGGGCAGGAGGCCGGCGCCGGTCATAATGTTAACATCCTGGGGGCAAACCCTAACTTCGATGTTGTCAGGAAGTCTAAGTCTCATACGAAGAACATCCAGATCTACAACCATGGTGGAAGTGCTAGAAGAATCTAAAAGGGGGTAAATGGAAGCCTGCCGAAAGTAAAAAGAACGAAACTAACCTCGGAGGACTGCAAGATCGCTGGAAGAATGACTCTTGAAGGATTTCACCAGAAAAAGCTTAGCACTGTTCTAGAAAGAAAGAGACTTGGCTGATGATGGAGACGGTAAAGGGAAGTGAAGTGGAATTCTAGAGCATTATAAAGGCGAGGGGGCCCGAGGGCCGAAGCGTCGGGAAGGCGAGAAATTCCTCGAGCCCCGGAACATTGATTCTGGATCTGACCGTCCGCTCCCCCACGTGGTTATCTCGAGCCGTCAACATCATGATGAGACGCCATCAATAATTACCCCTTATTAAATAAGGGGCAATTATGGGGGCAGTTGAGGAGGCCCCGGACGACATGGGCCGGATCTGACTCGCAAACACAACATTCAGTTCGAATAGCTGGGTCGGCCCATATAAAGACACTGCCATATGGGCCGAACGGGAAGAAGCCCATCAAAGGTGACCAGGGCTTATGGAGGAATAAGCCCAGATCCAGCAATCAGTAAATATCTTGAAAATATCTTGTAAATATCTGATAAATATCTATAAATAGGATATGGAATGGGAAGGAGGGAGATCTTTTTGGGTTGAGGTGTAAGAATTCTAGAGAGAGAAAAGAGGAGAGGGAATTTCTTGCATCTTCATATATATATATATATATATATATATATATATATATAGTTTATATATAACAATACTTATACCACTACCACCATCAAAACATAAAAATAAAAAATAAAAAATAAAAAAAATAAATAATTTTTTTGAAATAGCTAGATAACTATACACTACCATAACTGTAACGACCCGAATCCCATAATCCGGTGCACTAACCATGATGGACAAAATTTGGGTTCGAAATGCAGAAGCTGGAAACCCTAATAGCCTACATGGCTAAGGTGGCCAAAATGAAACACAAAATGGGTCCACCTATGTCATAACAATCATATATAAACATTCCATAACAATCATATATTTAACACTCCATGAGGTTCTAGGCCCTATGGGGTGGTTTCGATATAAATCGGCATTTTAACATATGGAAAAAAAATTATAATTCTTCACTAAAATGGGCATAACTCTTTCTATGTTTAAAATTTTTGAATGGGATTGATATCATTGGAAAACTTGTTTCGATGCAGTCAGTTTGGACTCGAGAATGACCCAATTTTGAGTTAAAACAAATGAGATATCACTGTTTGAAGTCAGAGTAACAGTGCTAAGACATGGGCTGCGAGCACTCAGAATTAGGGTTGCAAGCGCCCGCAGAAAACCCAAGTTTCTGCCCAAAATAATGGATCGCTCGCACTAAGCCCTCGGAGATAGGGGTGCAAAAAAAAACCGTGGAATCGAATCATGGATTCGGTTCCGGTTCTTATGGTTCCGGTCCCGGTTCTGAAAATAGGAACCATGGGCTTACGGTTCTGGTTCCAGACCCGTGGGAATTGTTAGGAACCGGAACCGTATATATATATATATATATATATATGTTTATATATTTAATTATATATATTATTAATTACATACTTGCTAAACTCATTCATACCAATATACCATACACATGCATCACTGTAGTAATTCAGCAACACGTGGTCCAATCTAAACCACAAAAACAAAAACTCATCTAAAGTTTTAATCCTAAACCTAACCCTTGCCTCCCCTCAACTCAAGTTTCAACTCTAAAGTTAGGCAGCTTCCTCATCGCCCTCGCCTCCTCTCCTCTTCAATCCTCATCAGTCCTCACTCCTCATCCTCTCATCTTCTCATCAGTCATTCATCTTTAGTCCTCAAATAAGTAACTCTGGAATAGTTTTATTTTTTATATTTATTTATATTTATATTTTTGCTATTGTATTCTGTAACTCTGTTTTATTGTTTTATCTATGGGCTCAAAGGCTTCAAATAAGTAAGGGAACGCAAGGGAACAACAGGAAAAAGTTCATAGGTGGGGAACCGAACCAGAACCGAACCGGTATTCACAGTTCGGTTCCATGCACACACGGTTCCGGTTCTAGTCGGAACCGTACCGAATCGAACCGATCCGATCCGAACCGTGTGCACCCTTACTGGGAGCGCTCGGAGGGTGCTAGAATGTACCAAAAACCGTATTTAAGGTGCCTAAGAACTTGGGCAGCTCCTTGGCACCAACCATGGTCCCAAACATAGTCTAAAATTCATCACAGACACCACATAAACATAATCAAAAGCATGAACATTATATATTCCAATGATGTGTGTAAAATAAAATGGAAGCAACACCCAATTTAAATAGAAATGGCCTTATGGCCTCATTCTACATTTGTACAAATTGCACCATGAATCTTACATGGAAAAATATACAAGAAATTACAAGGATCAAATCCTAAATAAAATGCTACTAAATAAGATGCATTAAAGCTTCAATAAGGCCATCAAACATCCAATTGCAACTCCATGGCAAGTCTTCATTCTTGAAAAATGTTAATATGATAGGGGTGAGCACGAGCGCAGTATAATTGGTGGATTACACTAGTAAATTACATCCTTTGAAATCCCCAAGGACATGCAAGAAATGCTCGGTATCCCAAAGATGAAAGGTCATGCTACCTAAGATTCTAAGCTTTGTGAAATGAAGGGGATCATACACCCTAATTCTAATTTCCTTAGCAAGATTGTCTAACTCAACTCAAGTAAAGCACATAACCAAGTCATATATCAAATATAACATATAGTCAAGTAATATCCACAAACGAGTCATGAACCACATATAGCATATTATCACATAATAACTACCACGATACCACAATGATAATAAAGTCCACGTAACTCCATGAATTATGAACTCAACACAATCCCATGAACTCCACCATGACTCAACTCACTCATGTGAATGCAATGATGCAAAATTGATAATGCCCCATACCGGAATCACATCCCGTAACATGAAATGAAGTGGTGCACCTTTGCACCCAATTGGTCAATGTACAATGATATCTCCTTCGTTTTAACTCTAAATTGGGTCATTCTTGAGACCAAACTGACTGCGTCGAAACAAACTTTCCAATGGTACCAATTCCATTCAAACATTCCAAACACAGAAAGAGTTATTTATAATACCCATAAAAGCATTTATTTAATTTAATTTAATTGTTTATTTGAATTAATTCTTTAAGCATGTTTGGTTATATGATTTAATTGTTAATTATTTAATTGAGTTAAAGTGTTTAAGTGATATTTAATTGTGTATAATTGATTATTCGATTTAATGAATTTAGTTGTTGTTTACTTATTTGCTTGCTTGTGAATTGTTGTAGTTACATGTTAATTTAATTGTATTAGTTTAATTAGTTATTAATTGTTTATTTGTTTGTTGTTTTAATTTATTTTAGTTTTAAAGTAGTTGGGCCTGGGTTAATGGACTATGAGTTGGTTTTTGAAGGAGAAGGCTTTAATTAATTTGAAGGCCTAGTTTGGTGGAAGACTATAGGCCCATGTTTGTATTTATATGAGATTTGAGAGAGGAGAAAAATGGTTGTAGCATAAATGTAGAGAGAGAGAAGGCTGATTAGAAGAGGAAGAAGAAGGTGACCGGAGCAAGGAGTATTAGCCGGAGATAGATTGAAGGTTGCCAGAATTAGAGAAGAAGACCGCAGAGCTTGTGTAGTTGATTTTCAATCCGAAAATTATAAGACAAGTTCTTATCTATCTCTTTCCCTTTGAATCTATAATCTCTCCATCACATGCTAGATTTTAGGGCTTAAATTAGAGAATTAATTAGACAATTAATTGTTATGTATGAACTCAAGCAACTGTTTTCATGTTTATATGTATTTGTTCTTAACTTGATAGGTTCTTTGATTTAATGCATAAAACTTGTTTTTAATTGTTGGGTCTTGTGTATTTTCATCATATATATCGTTGGTAATCATATGGAACTTAGAAACCATGTTTTCATTTTTATGTGTTTGTGCTCGAGCTTTGGGAACCTGGTTTCTTCAAAAGTGTTCCGAATGACCTCGGTTTGAGTATAAATGATCCCGAACATGTTTATAAGTATTGGGAACAGTGACATGAGTTTTTTTTATATATATTTATAAATTGTAATAGACTCTTGTAATTTGTTATTTGATGGGAAAGATTAAATTAACTAATAGGTTATAAATTAACCTTTATGGCATTTAAATTATTAAATTGTGTAATTCAATGTATTAATCTTATTCATGATTATAATCATTGTTATCGATATATTTATGATTTACAAGCATGATACATAACTGTAGTTATTTGTTTTACCATTGTTAAATATGAGTAAATAATATTATGATTTTAATTATTCTTTTACCTCATGTATATGATCCTAGATTCGATCTATGACTGTTTGTTTTTTTTGTGCCATTGTTAGATATGACTATGATGAGATTTATCCCTGTATGTGATGAGATCATTGAAATAGCTAATAAGTTAGGTTCCTTGATATTTTGCACCATTGTTAGATGTGTTTTTGTTGGATCGATGAATAGGTGGGCTGACTAATAGGTTTAGACACGCTACATTGTGCCATTGTTACATATGCTTTATTGATGATGTATTATATGTATATGTATATGTATATGTATATATGTATATGTATATGTATATGTGAGCCATGATACGAGCTTGAGGTCTCGGGATCAGTGGTTAGGACTGAGGCGTATATTGCCAGCAAGGATGAGTAGCTGAATATAGGAGATGTGTGTGTCTTGGTAGAAGGGGACTCTTGACTAACTAGTGTGCGATTTTTCTTGAGATACCCACTATTCGGTTGAGACTGCCTATATGTCGGTGAGCGTCTTAGTGTGTATATGTATGTATCGACTATATAGATATTGTATAAGTTTAGCTAGGGATGTATTGATTGTCGATTCTCTGATCGGATTGTAGTAGAGGGAACTTGTTTGTGGGTCTGAGCCATTATTTATTTTTGTTAGAATTTGTGAATGACATTTGTGTCATCAGTCATTAACAGATGCCTTGGACTGAACATGTGATCATTGGTTGGTTATGAGATGAAAAGATGCAACTTAAAACCAATAGACATAACTTATTCAATGTGAACCATTGCAACCTATTATAGTGGGTGTGTCTGGTGATGAATAGACACATATAAAAGGTTGTGTCCAGTGATGAAGAGATACATATAAATGGTTGTATCTAGTGATGATGAGAAACACCCAATCCGAAAAGACACTTTTATTTCTATAAATACCCGACTGCCATTTGCAATTCGTTCAATTATCTGATTTCTTCTCTCCCTCCCAAGACTTGAACCCAACCCAAGTGGGTTCAAGTCATAGGTTAAGTGATTCGAGCAATATTATGACACTTATTAAGAGCACTTTATCAAGCATCTGTCAAAGGTGGGTAAAGTTACTCTTATTAAGAGCACTTTATCAAGCCTTCCCACTTATTTTCTTTCTATGTTCCAAATTCCATGCTCTGTTGCTGATAGAATTGAACAAATTCACGGAATTTCCTTTGGGGAGGAAGGAGAGAAGAGTTCAAGTATTACCTTGTTAGATGGGAGCAAGTCTGCAAGCCTATAAAACCGGGGGGTCTCGGTATTAGACGATTGATTCCTTTTAATCAAGCTCTTTTGGGCAAATGGTTGTGGAGATACGGGAAGGAAAGACATTGCCCTTGGCGTATATTAGTCTCCTGCAGGTATGGGGATGATGTTGGAGGATGGACTACACGTCCGGTTTCTATTGCGGGAGGAGTTGGGGCTTGGAAATCCATTTGGAAAGGATGGGATGCCTTTTCTTCTCATGTTAGATTCAGAGTTCGTGATGGCAGTCGCGCTCGTTTTTGGGAAGATCTTTGGTGTGGAAATCAGCCTTTATGTCGTACTTTCCCACGATTATTTAGTATTGCAGTTGATAGACGTGTCACTGTATCTAACTGTTATCAGCTTGATAATAGTGGAATTACGTGGAATGTTCTTTTTCGACGTTCTTTTAGGATTGGGAGCTAGAAGATGTGAGCATTTTTCTGGATCAATTGTATCGGCAGGAAGGAATTGGCAAGGGTTATGACAATTTGATTTGGATTCCCTCTTCTCACGGTCGTTTTGAAGTAAGGTCTTTGTTCTTATGTTTGTCTAATTTTGCACCCTCTGATTTTCTATGGAAGACTTTATGGTGTTCTATGGTTCCTACTAGGATGGCTTTTTTTGTATGGACCGCCGTTTGGGGTAAGATTTTGACGATCGATAATTTGAGGAAAAGGGAAAATTATTTTGTTAATTGGTGTTGCATATGTAAGCAGAATGGGGAGTCAGTTGGTCATCTCCTAATGCATTGTTTTGTAGCGCATGATTGTTGGAATCTTATTCTTGGGCTTTTTGGCATGTATTGGGTAATGCCATGTTCTACTAAGGAGCTGATTCATGCCTGGAGAGGTTATCGTGTGGATAGAAGAGTTTGTGATTATTGGAGATCTGTACCACATTGTATTTGGTGGTGCATTTAGAGGGAGAGAAATAGTAGAATGTTTGAAGGAAAGGAGTCGTCTACAGCGACACTGAAACTTATTATTATTCGTTCTCTCTTTTGTTATGTGAACAGAAATTCCTGTTCCTCTTCTGATGATTTAATTTCTTTTTTACATTCTTTGGGGCCTTAGTTCTTGGTTTCTTTTATGTCTATGGGACGCGTTCCCCTATTGAACGTTTTTTTAATTTATTATTACTTATCAAAAAAAAAATAATTGAGATATAATAAAATAGTAAATTGACACCATAAAAATCTCATAACTGAAATAACGTCTATTGAAATAATATATAGCTACTAAGTCTGATGAATAAAAGGAAGAGGGGAATGAGAGAGATCGGGAAGAGAGGAAAGGAGTTTCGGCTGTTAGATACTAAAATAAAAAAAATAAAAAAAAATAAAAAAATAAAAAAAAATAAAAATTTACGTTGACCCGCATCTAATTGTAGTTTAAATAATTAGGGCAAATGTGATATTTGAAACCACATGGGGTGTCATTGTTAAAAAATTATTGACCCGCATCTGGTGACATTGATCGAAATCTCAGGGGTGTCGATGCAATTACCCTAATTATAAATAAAGGCATACTGGTTTCATAATTAATGCACTTCATTGGCTTATGATTTGGTTCTATGCATTCCGAAACTAATGATCATCCAAATCGTGCCACAATATAGGAGTATAACAAGGTTCAGGATTCGGTGGTTCGACCTAACCTTTTTCTGTCTTTTCAAGGAAATCACTCCCTATTGTTGATTAGGGGAATATTATCATACTTGAGGTGGAACATTATCATGAGATTGCGGGCATGATTTGGCTACTGGTGTTCATATAGGGGTAATTAAGTGATGTTTTCTCAATTTTCAAAGTGAATAGAGTTTGAGAGGATTTTTTTGGTTAAGGGAAAAAAATAAAAAGTTTAGAGTTTAAATCACAAGTTGTGTGGGTGTATTTTTTATTTATTTATCAGGAGAGAGTTTAAGTCACAAGTTGTGTGGATGTTTTATTTATCATGAGAGAGTCATATGTCGTTTATTAAATGAAATAAGAATCATCAAAAGTTTCCATGAATTCCGTATTTACTTACCAAAAATAAACGAAGGAGAAAGTTACTATGTATTTAAAATGATTCCAAGTTTCCTATAACATGGTTGATAAAATGAAAAATGTAGAACTAGATGGGACTATCAAGTTTAGGTGGTGGAAGAATTTGGTGATTTACGTTGAAACTCATTTGCATATAGAATAAAAAATGAACAATTATGTCATTGTAAATTATGGTAGTTAGTTATATGTGCTGGTTAATTAAGTTTGCAACTTCGACAATGATGATACAGGTTTCCTGCCAACTTCATTTTGTCCTCTTTTTTTTTTCTTTTCTTTTTTTATTCCCTCTTTCATTTTATTTACACTATAATACTAATATAGTTGTATTGTTATATATATTGGGCCCAATAAATTCAATCTATACCCCAATTCAGGATCGTATAAGTGTGTGGTGGTACAGTTTGGAACAGCTCGGCTCAGATTATCTCACAAACTACTACTGTGAAGTAAGTGATCAGAGCCATCGTCACTGCCCCGTGCAAAAAAGAATAGAAAAATAGTTACTTGAGTATGTAATATCATATCTTAAATTATCATATCGTTTGGTGGAGTCGGGAGTGGGAACGTAGGACCCTCCCTTCATCAACACAAAGTGGGAAGGTGGTTGGCTGGCCAATGAAGAACATGCACTATTGTATTAAATGGGAAGTCCAGTCCTAATCCAACTCTACCTCTTTCTTTCTAACGAGTAGATATTGGATGTGTCAATGGTGCTATATTATTTACACTTTGCCAACGAATGAACCTGCTGAAGAAGTGAAAAATGATTTGCCTACCCTTCAATCCTGTGAGACGATTCACAAACGATACAAACTCATTTTTGGCCCAGCAAAGGTGGGGAAAAAAATAATAATAATAAAAAAAAAATGGAGAGATGAAGGGGGAGGGGGTGGGAGTCGCTTATACGTCTCTCTTCTCTGTTTTCTTTTGTTTCTTCTATTCTTCTTCTTCCTTGTTTGCTCATCCTAGCAAGCACAGAAGGGAAGAGAGGAAGATTGTGTTGTGTGTATATCGTCCACCGCACCATCACAGACCAGACCAGACCACTTTATGTAAATTTAATTTGTGAGTTGTGACAGACAAACCAGAGTACTTTATGTAAGGCAAAAGGACACCTTCTTCTGTGCAGCCGAGGAGGACGTCCTCTTTCATCACTTCTCCCCCTCCCCTTCCCTATATAGTAAATTTCATTTTCTGTTTTCTTTCTTGTTAATATTAATTTGATTCCATGATTTTTATATTTATCACTGCATTTATTTTTTTGCTAATTCAGGATCTTAGAGCAAGTGTGGTGGTACAGTTTGGAACAGCTCAGCTCAGATTATCTCACAAACTTACTACTGTGAAGTGATCAGAACCATCGTCACTGCCCCGTGCAAAAAAGAAGTCGCGAAAAATGGTTAATCGAGTATGTAATACTATTGTAAAATGGATCATATCTTAAATTATCATATCGTTTTGGTGGAGTCAGGAGTGGGAGCGTAGGACCCTCCCTTCATCAACACAGAGTGGAAAGGTGGTTGATTGGCCAATGAAGAACATACACTACTGTATTTAAATGGGAAGTCCAGTCCCCAATCCCTTTCTCCCTCTCTAGCGATATTGGATGTGTCAAAACGCACTATGTCATTAGTGTACTTACTACTCACTTAATAATAATGTATTATTTAAAAATAAGTTGTATCCCCAGTAATCTGTAAAATATATACTACTTAGAGCATCTCCAACATTATGTTTAAAATCTCATTTTTGTGTAAAATATAATCTACCTCGTATGATATGTAAATTATTTATTTATTTATTATTATTATTATTTTTTTATCTCTAGCAATCTGTTAAGATACATTGATTTGTTACCAATGTGCAAAATTGTTGTGTATTTTATACAACTTTTTTACAAAGTCACATCAGCATGTTTCCTTTCTCCTTCCTCTTTCTCATTCCATTAAAGAATCAACCTTATATTAAGTAGGTTTGTAAAAATTATGCGGAATCCTGACGTGACAGATGGTTGGTTGTTATTGGGGAATATATTTTTACACAAAAGGTATAAAACAACGGTTGGAGTTAAAATTAAATAAACTAATTTTTTGTGTAAATCTATCATGACACATCATATTTATGCAAAAAAATATATATACACAACGGTTGGAGATGCTCTTATGACGTGTAATTTTTTTTTTTAATTTTATTTCCGGTGTTAAGATACATTGCCACGTCTCTAAAGTGTAAAATTGTTGTGTATTTTACATAACTTTTTTACACAACCACATCAATATATTTTATTTTTCTCCCATTTTCTCATTCCATTAAAGAATTAACCCTCTATTAAGTAGGTTTGTAAAAGTTATGTGGGTTCTGGCATGACACGTGGTTCGTTGTTATTGGGGGATATATTTTTACACAAAATGTATTAAACAACCGCTAAAGTTAAAAATAAATAATCCAAATTTTTTGTGTAAATTTATCATTACAGATCATATTTACACAAAAAAGTATACACAATGGTTGGAGATGCTCTAACAACAAGATAATAGATTATATTTCATTGAGTTGATACACTTGTAACATCCTCTTTAACCACCGCCGAATCTATCTCTCTTTAAAACAAAGTGATGATTATTCAATCCAATACAATCATCAATCAATCATGCACTCCGACTTTCTCACTTTTTTTTCGGAAGTTGTCCGACACTTTGCCAATGAACAGGGACAGAGGCAGAATTTTTGTTCAGGAGCACATTATACTCTAAATACATATAAATTGGTGGGATAGATTAATAATTACATATATAGAATATAATGAAATAATTTAAGAAAAAACATTTAGGGAAATATAGTATACTTACAAATTTTAGGGGGGTATTTTTACACATTTCTAGAAAATATATACATATTATAAGAAAAAATATATATAAAATAATGGAAGAAAAAATCCAAGGCACGTGCCCTGTTCCTATACTGGCTCCATCACTGCCAATGAATGAACGTACCCATTTCAAATGAAAGCCACGAGATGCTTGCGTCACTAATCAAACTTTATTTTTTCTACTGACGTGGTGAAAATTGATTTACCTACTCATCTCATTCCTGTGAGATGATTAAGGGTGGCAATTCGTATTAATGGGCCGTGTTTGTGTCAATACGATTATGACAATAGCACGATTAGAGTAGACACGAACACGACACGATTATTAATCGTGTCAAGACCCCTTGACACAAATACGATCCGATTATTATACGTGTAACACGACACGACACGACATGCGTAACCTGTTTAATAAATGGATCAAGACTTGACACGACACAAAATGACATGAAAAGACACGTTTAAGTCATTTTTGACACAAACACGACATATTTATTCTACACATTTAGCTAAATAAGTCATTTTTGTCATGGATACAACACGTTTATTTGACACGTTTAATTAATCAGGTTAATCGTGTTATTAGGGTCAAACATGAACATGACACATTTAGTTAAAGGGTCAATCCGTTTCAACACGATTACGACACGAATACGATTAGCCTAAATCCAAACTCTCTTATCTCGTATCATTTTCATGTTCGTGTTCGTGTTCGCATCGTCTCAAATATTGTCACCCATGACAACGATACGAACTCATTTTTGGCCGGACAAAGGTGGAAAAAATAAAAATAATAATATATATATATATATATATATATATATATTTTTTTTTTTGCCATAGCAAACAAAAATAGCAATAAGATTAACATAAACAATCTTTTGCCGCCAACTTCAGAATATTGGCAGGAAGATGAACAAGAGCAATATCATTCGTCATATGATTTCGAGAAAGCTGGGCAAGAGCATGAGCGACTCCCATGCCGACGAATATGACTAAGTCGTGAAAAGGAGAAACGCTTAAACAACACGTGCACATCAAAAGAGATAACATGAATTTCAACCGGGCCACAATCCACCCCATTCACCGCCTGAACCACCAGCAACGAATCACATTCAAAGCAAACTTGATCAAAAAACTGGGATAAAACCCACAAGATTGCTTTATGGATGGAAATAGCTTTGGCCTCGGAAGCACTATGCGCTGGGAAAGGAGAGAAAACCACCAACTGCAAAATTTGATCGAGTGAGTTTATGAAAACAGCCCCCCCACCACCAACCTTATTAGACAAGCAAAACGATGTATCCACATTACATTTAACAATACTAATAGGAGAGGGCGACCAGTGAAGAACAGGAGGAGAAATGGCAGAACAGAAGCGTCTCCTATCGGGGTGGTAACAAAGCTATGGGAAGATGAATCAAAGGAATTCTTATAGTCCCAACATTGAGATGAAACCCAGCTAACAATCCGCAAAGGAGTAAACAGTTCGCCTTAAAAAAAAACCTGTTTCTTGCCTTCCAAATACCCCAGCAACAGAAAGCCACCAAACGAAACAGATCCTGGCCCTCTATTCCATGCCCCCATTGGATCAGTATAGTCATCAACCACTCCTTAAAAGAAATTGGAGGATTAGACATAAAATTAAACCGTAGCGGTGATAATTTCTATACTTGGATAGAATGAGGGCACTAAAACAACAAATGCTCAATGAATTCCTCAACAATACCACATCTAGGACACACTGGCTCCACCTCCATACCTTGCAACTAGAGAAGGCTACGAACTGGAAGAGCAAAGTTACAACATTTCCACAGAAAGTGCTGAATTGTAGGAGGAACTTTACATTTCCACAAACGATGCCAACTAATGTTCTATGAAGAATCAAGATTAGACATTTCCTGGGATGGGGATTCACAAGCCCGTGCCATGCGGTTAGCCAAACAATACGCAGATTTGACCGAGAAGTTACCATTGGCCTCACTATCCCATTCCAACTTATCTTCCTTAGAGCAAAAACTGAAACTACAAGCAAGAATGGACGGCTGGAATAAAGAATTAAGCAATTCCACATTCCAACTAAACCCTGTATAATTAAAAAGTGCATATACCAAATTGGTAGTCACCATAAAAACAGACCTTGAAAGTGTGCCATATAAACCAGGAACCTAACGATCCTTCCAACTATTAATAGATTGGTCGTTTCCCACCACCCATCTAGATCCAGCACTCAGAAGATGTTGTGTAGACCAAATATTTCTCCAAACCCAAGAGGGATTAGATAATGGTGCTTCCAAAAAGGAACAAGTTCGAAAGTATTTAGCTTAAAAAATTTTAAAAGCTAACCCTTGTTGATTAACTTGAAAGTTCCACCCCTGCTTAGCCAACAGAGCACCATTATAAGCCTCAAAATTATGAAATCCTAACCCCCCTTCCTCATTTGTATTGCATAAAATATCTCATTTAACCCAACCAATATTATCAGACTCACCATCTTTACCCCACCAAAACCGACGAATAATCTTCATTATTAAATTACATAGCTTACGGGGTAACTGAAAACAGGACATCACATAGATGGGTAAGGCATTTAACACTGCTTTAATTAAAATTTCCTTACCTACCGAAGATAAAAGCATATACTTCCAATTTGCCATACAGGTAGCAATTCTTTCCGAAATATAATGGAATACATCCCATTTAGAACGAACGATAATTGCATGCATACCCAGATATTTAGCATACAACCCTTCCTCCTAAATCTGCAGCAACTGACACAAGCTAACACAATCCTCAGCACTTGTATTTGCAGAGAAAAAAAATAGAGGATTTACAAAAATTAATTTGTTGCCTAAATGCCTATTCATACTGCGTTAAGAGATTTTGCAAAAAGACAATCTCAGAAGTAGATGTCTGACAGAAAACAATAGAATCATCGGCAAATAACCAATGTGAAATAGGAGGCGCATGGGGACAGATACAAATCCTAAAGAGGACACGATGCTGAAGGGTTATCTGCAAAGACCTGGATAAAGCCTCTTCACACAGAATAAATAAGTATGGAGATAAAGGATCCCCTTGTCTTAGCCCACGCATGGGTCGAAACATACCAACAGGTCTACCATTAATCAATACTGAATATGAGACCGTAGAAATACAAGCTTGGATAAGTTGAATCCAATGTGGATGAAAACCAAGTTTAGAAAAGCATGGCCAACAAAAATTTCCATTCAATTCGATCATAGGCCTTACTCATATCCAATTTCAAGGCCATAAAAGCCTTCTTCCCTTTATGTTTAGTTTTAAGATAATGTAGTATTTCATGAGTGATCAGTATATTATCAGTAATGTGGTGTCTCGGAACAAAAACACTATGGGACTCATTAACGACTAAGGGAATGACTTGTCAGAGTCTATTAGCAAGCACCTTTGCCACTATTCGATAAGCAACATTACATAATGAGATAGGCCTATAATGAAAGACAAGAGTCAGGGACTCTATTTTTGGAATGAGAACAATATTTGTATGATTAATACTAGATAATAAATGGCCGGAATGCATGAAACTATGTACCGCATCGATGACCTCATTCTTAAAATATGCCAATATTGCTGATAGAACAATGGAGTCATACCATCCGGACCCGGAGCTTTGCATGGCTGCATCTCAAAAAGAGCTCAGCGTATTTCTTCTTCAGAAGGGTGCTGAATTAATGTATTATTCATATATGGAGAAACGCGAGATGGAATATGCCGGATAAAATGATCAATTCCCATAGGAAAATTCGTATGGAACAGAGATTGAAAATGATCAAAGATTTGTATGGAACATGGTTTCTCCATTGTCGACGGGCAGCTGATGCATGAAAGAATTTTGAATTACGATCCCCCAACCTGAGCTAGTTAATCTGGGATTTCTGAAACCAACACAACTCCTTCTGCCTCCACAAAGAATTCAACTGTTGTTCTTCAAGAAGCACCTGTGCATGATCATAGTCATCCATGTTTTCTTTCAAATGTTTTAATCGGATTTCAGTTCAGTCAATCTGCTTCCAAGAATTGAATTTTGTAGTTTGAACCCAATGAAGTAAAGCTTTCTTGCAGGATTTGATTTTTTCTGACCACCGATACATACGGGAACCAGATATAGACACCTTCCACGCATCTCGAATGATATCGGCACACACAAGATTAAACATCCACCTGACATCAAAATGGAATTGGCAAGAATTCTTAGAAAATACCGGCGAGAGTTGAAGAAGCATAGCGCAATGATCAGACCCAGCAATCGTGAGATGGCACTGGCAAACTTTGGGAAACAACCGACACCAAGACTTAATAGCTAAGGCTCGATCCAATCTTTTCTGAATATAAGCACGCCCGCTCCGATGATTACTCCACATGAAAAGGATACCCCTCAAATCCCAAGTCCAATAACCCACAATCGTTCACCATGATCAGAAAATTCTTCAATACCCAATAGGGCTTTGGAATAGCCCCTGTTTTTTCCATAAGGGATAACAAATCATTAAAATCTCCAATTAGAAGCCAGCGATCCCCCATGACTGTTGCATACATTTAAGATATTCCCATTGTGCCGTACGAATGCCATCTTCAGTACTAGCGTAAATGAAAGTAAGAATCCAGGAACCTTGTGTAATTTGATACTCACAGTAATCCACAATACAGAATAAATTTTAAAGTTTCCAAAACACAGCAATACCCCAAGCCCCAACCGAGTCAACATTCTATACAAAATCCACCTTTAACCGTCATTGAATCCGCTGTAATTTCCTCAACTGCGTTTTGGTCTCAAGTAAGACAATAACATCAGGACAGTGCTGTCTGTTAGGTTGCACCAGTTGTCGAACGGTGATAGAACTACCCACTCCTTGACAATTCCAAACCAAAAACCGTAGGGGAGGGTGAGGCATAATATCGGAAATATCAGAACTACAAGGAAGATGATCACCCACCGGTTTCGTACTTGAAGAAGAAGCTTGACCTGTGTTACTATGACTAGGCCGACCGATTAAGTCTATACACTGGTCACAATGGGGAAAAATGGACCATACCAGAAGAGCCCAACTCTAAAGGCGATGCATCGCGTAACCCCACAACTAAGCCGGGGTCAATACTTAAACTCTGCCCATCAGGAGAGGCCCACTGTGGAACGGAGTCGAGGCCCACTACTGTTGCCCTAGCTGTGTCATGGAAACTAGCCATCGCATCACTATTCTGCGAGTTTTGCACAATCTCTATGGCGGCACCACCAAACAACTCAATAACCAAATGACAAAGTATGCAAACAAAGGATTACCTGGGAATCAACCCTAAAAGACGATCCCAAGATCAAAAGCACATAGCGAAGAAAATCGTCTGGATCAGAAAAGACCCCCACAGGAAATCAACGGAATTAAATCCCCAATACAACCATCAACCACTACCAGATGCAGCTTCCAACCACAAAAACCCAATTAGCAACACGAGGAAACCCGAGAAGAAACGGAACAAACAATCAATTAGAGAAAAACAAATCCAACCAGTTGATCGCCGGATCGAAAAGAACAAGAAACCCCTAAAAAAACTACCACTCTAACAAGTGGAGAACTCCCATGAAAGGAGAGAATTCCTATGAAAGGGGAAAGTTTGACAATCCTCCACTGGAAAGGCAAACCTAGACATCCAACAAACCCAAAATCCCACTTGACCAATGATTATGGAATTTTAAAATAAAAATAAAAATAAAAATAAAAATAAAAATAAATCCCACCCCCCCCCCCAAAAAAAAAAAAGAAAAAAAAAAAAGAAAAAAAATAAAATGGAGAGATGAAAGGGGAGGGGGTGGGAGTCGCTTATACGTCTCTCTTCTCTGTTTTCTTTTTGTTTCTCTTCTTCTTCTTCTTCCTCCTTGTTTGCTTATCCTAGCAAACATAGAAGGGAAGAGAGGAATATTGTGTTGTTGTGTGTATATCGTCCTCCACACCAGAACAGAACAGACCAGACCAGACCACTTTATGTAAATTTAATTTGTGACAGACAGACCAGAGTACTTTATGTAAATTTCATTTGTATTGAAGATGTTGGTTGCCAACAGTTTTGATCTATGGCAAAAGGACGCCTTCTTCTCTGCAGCCGAGGAGGTTCAACAATCTGCAGATATGTACGTCCTCTTTCATCTTTCATTTCTCTCTACTTCTCCCCTCCCCCTCCCTATATGGTAAATTTCATTTTGTGTCTTCTTTCTTGTCATTAATTTGATTCCATGATTTTATATTAATCCCTGCATTTATTTTTCTGCTATTTTTTTTTTTTTTTTTTAAATTTTTATTTGGTATTTCAATAGATTGTTACAATTTGGGGGTTCTGCTTGAAGGTTCCTACATATGGGTGCAAATCTAATAAAATATAGTTTCTTGCAGACATCTGACTCAAACTCGTTATTATAAAAGTTCAATTTTTCATTTTCATGGAAACAATCAGTTTAGAGAAATATATTGTTGTTTTTTCATCGGAATTCATTCCTAAAATTCCATTTCTATACGGTGTTTTCCGCTTTTGCAGAATGGAATCGGCGTACAGGACATGGGTAAAAGAGAGGAGAGAAGGGCTAAGAGCTCGAGATTTGGATGAACTTTGTAGGGAGCTTCAAACCGCTTTGGGTACAGCAAAATGGCAGGTTCGTTTCTGCTCTCTCTCAAATATGCATTTCTTTTCTTTCTTTTCTCTGCTATGTTTGTCTCTCTCTCTCTTTCTCTCTCTCTCTCTGTGTATATATATATATATATATATATATATATATTGATACAAACAAATATATCACTTTAAAATTTGTTAAGAATCGATTACTAGTGTACAAACCCCACTTTTGGGATTTGCTTTTAACTGTCATTAATTAGGTTTTTCACTTTTGCCAAACAGTAACCTTGTCTGTTGAACTTTTGTTCTTCAATTAGTTGGAAGAGTTTGAAAGGGCTGTCAGAATGAGCTACAGAAGCCATTCTGATGATATTACAACAGCCAGACATACACAATTTGTTGCTGCCATTGAAAATCAAATTTCCCGTGTTGAAGCAGCTGTAAAAGAATCTTTTTATGAGGAAGGTAAGCAACCATTTCGATGGGTGAATCTAGATGAAGAAGAGTGTGACAGCCTGGCTGCATTTCTCTCTGGAACTCTCTTAGCCTCCCAAGCCAAGCAAGCGCTTGGAAATTCAACAAACGACTCTTTTCACGAGGCACAATACAAAAGAGCTGCAGATTTTAATATTAACACTGCTTACGAAAAGGATATACCTAATCAAAATGGGGGATTTGAAGATGTTGTTGCTACTGAAAAGGATTCTAAGCTTGTCATAAGAATAGAAGCAGAAGAAATTTCTCAAACAAGGGATGATATGAGTTGTCAGGCTGATAGAACAAATGGTACAAGGAGAACATGGAGTTCTCCAGATTTTGGTGCTTGGAAGATTGTAATTGCCGATGAAGATGAACAAAAGAAAGCACTATTGCAAAGTATGGACGCCACACCCAAAGAGAAGGGGTCAAAATCTGTCTTCTCTAAGCAAAGATGTGGAGATTATCATCTAGCAAAGCGAGGAGTATTAAGTTACACCCAGTTGAGAGGGATTAACTGGATCAATCAGGTCAGCTTTCAGATTTATTCCTTGATTTCTCAAAAATTGCCTTCTCTTTTCTCAGGGGGAAGAAGAAAGAAGTATTTTGTGTATTTTTATCTTCTTGTTCTGCTTTGTAATATCAAATTAAAGTTAGCGTTTACTTTTCCATCAACAAAATGTGATTATCTGTTAAGATGGTTTTGTTTGCATAGAATCTGGAAAGTCGAGCTGATTTCACTGTTTCTGCAGATCTTGGGATGGTTTCGTGGATATCAGCGACAGCTACAGAGCCCGCTGCACTTGCAGATTGGTCATTCTCTCCAATTTACACTTGCTTTGATGCTAACTATTTTTTTAATTGGTAAGCTTTTGATCTGCCTGAACTTGTAGCAAAGAAAATTACCAACAACTGTATGTAGTGGGGAACACATTTACGGATTGATCTTGAATTCTTTATATTTAGTTGCTTTAATTCTTGTGTCTTGTGAGTGCCATTGCTTGGTGCAATGATAAAAGTTTGGGCTTTTTAGGGTGATAATACGGGTTTGACTCTGAGGACAGCCACTTTGTGCAATATTTCCAAAGTTAAATCTGTACGGTGTACCCAATTTACTCCTAACAGCACCACCTTGCAATAATGGAACCAACATCTGATAATGGCCTTTTAGTTCTTTTATCTTAGACAAAATACACAAAAATGCATTTTAGAGGTGAAGATAAAATGCATTGGGAAAAAAGATGATGTATTTCTTCTGGATATGTTGATAAGTTTATGGCATAACCATAATTAAGATATAGTTGATTGTTATTATGTTAGTTTTTATGAGTAATGACCCAGCAGCATCACAAGCATGACATGTATGGTCCTCTAGAAGTAACGCCTATAGTTTTATTTCGACTAGAGTGCAAAAGCAATCTAAGAAAATATTTGAAATTAGGACCTCTATATGAATTGCAGTCTTAGAAGGCAGTGTTGCCATATATACATGATTTAGTTTGCAATCATGTGATTGCTTATCGTCATAAAAATGATGTATTTCCTAGAATACTTATCTAGTTGATTGTGTTAGATTTTATCATTTTATGTATATTCAAAAAGTCCTTAACTTTATGCATAGAAAATTAAAAATCAAGAGTCTATACCCAACAAAAAATGATAAATAGTTGTGTGAATATTAGATAATTGTTATGCGCACTCATTTAATAGTGGCCATGCAACATATATATCAAGTCTGTTCAGATTATGTTACACTTCTCAAATGCATGGTATTCTTTGCCTCTTTTTCTCACTAAAAATGGTTTCTAGTCTAGTATTTTTACACTCTAAGGACTAAATAGGGTTATAGTGGTATCTCTTGCCATCCCTATAGGGGGAGATGCAGCTTGTTCCAGTTGGGGAATTGATGTATGTATAGGAAATAGAATTACTTCATAGGGCTTGTTTAGGGTTTGTACTCATCCATCAGATGGAACTTCTCCATTCTTTTCACTGCCAATATATTATGCCAGTTCTCTCTGCATTCAATATTCCTTACGATTTACAAGGTAATTTTCCTAACTGTGGCATTGTTACTTATAATTGGTAAAGCGAAAGAGAAAATCAGACTTTTAGGACTAGATAAGCGCCCTTGTTTGAAGGTTAGCTTAATGAGATAAATGTCAAGGCGATAAGAGATTACCGATTACCCTTTATGACTTTCTGCAACCTGGCTAAGCCAGCCTTAGGGGCTAGCATCCTCTTGCATTTTTCACCCGTCCACCACTGGAAGTATGCAATCAAACTAAGTTCCATTCATTTGTGGGAACTACCTCGGGAACTTCTTCCTAGGAAATGTTTTAACCGGAATCTTCTAGATATTTGCTTCGTAAACTTGTCTAGTGCTTACCATTTAATTTGCATATGCTGAGGTGGACATTCTTTACCTTTGGTGTTGGTTCAAACTTTGAGTGCATCCTGATAATTAACAGTGGTTGTTAAATAGTCACGTCAGTCTAATTATTTTGCTTATCCTTTCATATAAATTCGACTAAAATCATGAAAATGTATTAGAGGCACTTACACAATATAAGGATTGCGTCCGAGCATAATTCTTTTCCGGCATGTGGTTTAGTAGATCAATACACATGGGATGGTACTACATATGTGATCTATTGCGTATAAAAGAAAATATCCTATATACTCTGAAGTTACTTGAAAATCATGTGGAATGTTCTGAAAATCTAGTGGAAGTAAAAATAGTAAATTATGGAGTGCAATTCAGCAGTATTATAGCTGCACTGCTGTCGGCATGATGGATGTGCATGGACTGAAAATGTCATTGGATGGGGTTAATGCTTACAGCTCATATCTCATGCTATATATTATCTTGTCTAGCCTTTCTAAAGTGCCATTTTTTTCCTTTTGATATATTTAGCTTTGGACAATTTAAAATGTGAATATTACTTGTCGTTGCCTTATCAGTGACTTGTTGCTGAATCATGTAGGATTTTGCCTTGAAATTTGTACAATCCTTAGTCCTTTACAAAAGAGAAACCTATGCTACATTCTACACATAAGAGGAATATGTATCTAAGGATGATCTTGATTGATTAATTTGGTGTTTTAAGTTGGAAATCATGCTAAAGCTTTGTTCTGTTTATTTGCAGTGCCTTTTGTACTCTATTCAACTTGACAGCTAGTTGTGTTTTATTGCTTGTGACTTGTGAGCAAGATGAGAGGTACTTCTATAGCCTTCATAAATTATGTTCATACTGTATTTTGTTAGCATATTTTGGTCTTCCATATCCACTGTAGATCACCTTTCATCAAGACGTACATCCCCATAGCGGATATCAGGTTTGAAGCCCCCACTAGCGGCATGTGGAATGGGCAGTGCCAGCCTATTGGCTAGTTTTAGGGAGAATTACACTAGAGCAAAAAATCAGCTTGAAATTCAGACAATGTGTTTTTTTTGTTCATTAGGAATGATGGTTTATTTATTCATTAGGGATGGTTTTGGTTCTTCTGTCACAAGAAATTTGGCAATGGTTGTTGATTCTTCTGTCACAAGAAATTTGGCAACATTCCTTCCTTATACCTTAAGTAGCAAGGCTTACGTATGGGACCTTAACTTCTTGATTTTAGAAAAAAACTTTCAATTGAATCGACAGCCAAAATGAAAATTATTTTGTTTTCCTTTTTCCTTTATTTTTTATTATTTTTTATTTTTTTATTTCTTATATGTGATAATGGTAAAGCTAAGTAACATATAGTATGGAACTGGTCAAACAAAGTATCTAATGGTATATTGCTAGAAGCCTAGAAGGCAAAGCATCTATGTTTAAAATTTCCGAAGAGTGTTTTTTGCTTTCTGAAGCTAATATTACTTTATTTTTTGGTCCTTGCAACCCAAAAACTGCTAAAATGCTGGTCATATGAAATGACTTAATACCACAGTGTTCCGCATTCTTAACTCACATAAATGACCTTTGTCGAAAATCAGAGTAGAGAGTTAATTGTAATGTGATACTTGCAGGTATTGGAGAAGTGTTTGTAATGGGAGAACAGGAGGAAGGAGTTCTGCTTATAACAGCGTCCCTGTTAGACTTTTCTGGTCTGGAAGTGGATTGCCTCTCTTAGATACAAGTAATATTTTCACACTAGATACAAAAGCATCCTTGTAATGTTAAACACATGCTCCCAAGAAATTTGGTGCCATGGACAATCACATTTAAATGTAAGCTTCAAACTTGGTAAGAAATTATATATGAACTTCAGTGATGACATGTCAAGGACCCAAATTCATAATTACTAATTATATGTGCCCACGCATCCTCTGCAATGTGTTATTTAATATTGCTTTTTGGATTTGTAAGTATTTGAATGTCAAGAATGAATGTTCTCTATTACGAGCTGAAAACTGTAAGCTTCGGGAACTTCGATAAATTTATTTTCTGTGCTTCGCATGAGAAAGTGAGAATGCAGGTGAAAGGGGTAGAAATCCTACTGTGCCAAATGCAGCCCAGTCCGTTCATTCAGGGATCTTGTTCAGCAATCCTGAAGCCCAACCACATCCAAATGGGAATAAACCACCACATGGCATGGCCCAAGAAGAAAGTCCAGTCCATCAACCTCCGGCTTGGAAACCAAGAAAGGAATTTAGGGCAATATGTAAACTACTATAAATAGGAGGAAAGGAAAGAGGGAGAGTGTTCGGTGTGAGAGAAAACTTTCTGTCAATAGAAAGAAAAATTCTTGCATCTATGTCTGGCGCCTAATGTGGGAAACGAGAGAAAGACTCGTCGATTTCCATGCTGAATTATGACTCAGCTCCGATCGGAGAAGGAAACTCACATCAGCGGAACAAGAATTAGCAAACCAGGCATGACGAGCTGATGCAAATCATCAAGACCCTACGAGAAGAGAATGCAGAACTCAGGTCAAGAATGGAGCAAAAAGATGTGCCTCCACTCCCTCGACCGCCAGAACAGGTTGAAAGGGTGGAGGTAGAAGATATTAACCATCAGGTGGACCGGACGGGATCTGTTCATGTAGCTCCGCGACGCAGGAAAATGGTTTCAGAGGATTTATCTCGGGAAGAGGAAAGCGTGGAGGCTCGCCCCCTAACGCCGAAGGAATCAACTACAGACCAGACGTTTGACGAAATATACCAGTTAGATCTGAGCGCTTAGGCTCAAAGGGCCACTGGGAAACAACAATGGGATCCTATAGCTCCCACAATGAACGACGGATCTGCCCGGGCATAAACCCGGACGATCGATTTGCCTTTTATCGAAGAGATCCTCTGCTCCCCGAAGCCAAGAAAGTTCACCATGATGATGTTCACGTCGTTTGATGGAACTAAGGATCCTACAGAACATGTGCATCACATCCAGCTGAAGATGGCCTTGGACACCGAGGATGATGCCCTGCTATGTAAGGTTTTCCCAACGAGCCTTACCGAACCGGTGCTCCACTATAACCATTGTTGTTATACTCGTACTAGCCGCTTCTTCCTCCTCCAGTTGTATGTAGCCTTTCGCCCTTGAATTAAGGATATCCATAATCGAAAGAGCTTTCTTCACCAAAGTCGTATGAAAATTGGTTCCTCGTATCATGCTAAGCTTGAACGCCTACATTGTTGGGGATACATGACAGTCGACCCCCATGCTCATTTCTAGATTGAACCTGGTGAGGAAGGCTTGAAGCTTGCCTCCCTGAAAAGAAACTTTGCCCTTGGGGAGCTGGTACTGAAAAGAGTAGTGGGCATCGTCCCAAAAATAAAGTCCCCATGAAAAGGGCCCTACAGAATTACCGAAGTTGTAGGAAAGGGAACATATAAGCTGGAGACACTAGTCGGAAGGAGAGTTGACAAGCCATGGAACGCAACCTATCTGAAGAGGTATTTCCAATAGAATGACATTACCTTTTGGGTTTTTTATTTGTTTTTCCTTATGATTACATTTGCATTAATGTAAGACGATTGATGGACCAGACATTAAAGGCTCTGAAAAAGAAACTTCGTTGAAAGAAAGAAATTTGTTAAGCAGCTTATGCCCGACATCTTTCGCACACTCAGAAATTTTTTTAAAATTCGTGGCAAGTGGCACTATTTGCTAATCGCTAAGTAATTAGTGGCAAGTGGCACTATTTGCCGATCGCCAAGCAATTGGTCAAATGTCAGTGGCAAGTGGCACTATCTGCCGAATGCCAAACGCTTGGAGAATTTATTAAAATTAGTGGCAAGTGGCATTATTTGCTGATAGCCAAGCAATTGGCCAAATGTCAGTGGCAAGTGGCACTATATGCCGAACGCCAAGCATTTGGAGAATTTATTAAAATTAATGGCAAGTGGCACTATTTGCCGATCACCAAGCAATTGGCCAAGTGTCAATGACAAGTGGTCCTATCTGCCAACGTCAAACACTTGGAAAATAAATCAAAATTAGTGGCAAGTGGCACTATTTGCCAATCGCCAAGCAATTGGCCATGTGTCAATGACAAGTGGCCTATCAGTCAAACGCCAAACACTTGGAAAATAAATCAAAATTAGTGGCGAGTGGCACTATCCGGATCGCCAAGCAATTGGCCAATTGTCAATGGCAAGTGACCCTATCTGCCGAATGTTAAACACTTCGAAAATAAATCTAAATTAGTAGCAAGTGGCACTATTTGCCGATCGCGAAGCAATTAGCCAAGTGTCAGTGACAAGTGACCCTATTTGCCGAATGCCAAACTCTTGAAAAATTTATTAAAATTAGTGACAAGTAACATTATTTGCTGATCGCGGCCAAGTGTCAGTGGCAAAGTGGCACTATCTGTCAAACACCAAACACCTACAAAATTTATTAAAATTAGTGACAGATGGCAGTATTTGTCAATCGCCAAACACTTTGGAAATTTGAAACCAGAAAGAATTTTGCAAGCAAAGATAAAACTAAAGCATCCCATTATCATTTACCAAAAATACATGAGAGTTGTTCACATTACAAAAAATCACCGAAGCCCCCACCCAAAAAAATAATAATAATAAATAAATAAATAAAAATAAAAAATAGAAAAGAATAAGAAGAAGAATACATGAAACAAATCCTAAGCAGTTTCATCGCCCCCCTAAACGTGCTCCGTATCATCCCGAGGATCGTCTCCACGAGAAGGAGACTCTAAGTCAACCACATTCTCAGAAGGAGCTGAAGTCTGACCATCAGGGGTTTGACTGATCGGCACCCCAATCTGTGGAGGAGAGGCCACTGGTGCAAAATTTGATAGGCTGAACAACGAAGACAGGGGGAATGATCCCAGAAGTGACGATCTCCTTGCACTCCCTGAAGACAAGCTCGGCTCGATCGGGAGCAGGATCATTGCAAGTCCCAAGAGGCTTGATTCGAAGGTCACGATCACTGTCATCCGGATCGTCATAGGATTTCCTGTGTCCTTCACGGGGAGAGTGATATGTGAATCCGTCTCTATACCCCTGGGCATACCTGATAGCCCCAGTTCGAGAGACGCGAGCAAGGAGAGATTTGATGCCACCCTCAACTCTGCTCATCACACCAAGAAGGGAAGTACGATCGTCCAAAGCTTTCTTCTCCATAGCAGCCCGAGCGGACCGCTCATCCTCCAGAGTGCCTTGGAGATTGTTCTTCTCTTTCTCCAAGTCACTTGAGCTCTGAATCTTTTAGCTTTGCTTTGACCTTCTTTAGGTCAGTCTCAAACTTCTTATAATCGGAGGACAAAGTGATCAGTTTCTGATTGGCTATCTCAATAGCCCTCTGTATAGAAACCGTCCCGAACAAGGTCTGCATGGAAAGAAGTGGCATCTATTACACTCAGTGTTAACAAAAAAAGGTAAAAGTGAAATGATCAAGAGAGAAAGCAAAAATGTTAAGACCAAAGTTACCTCCAGAGCTGAGAGAGGAAACTGCGAAAGCATTTCCTTTCGTGACAATTCCTTCTGCACCCGGACATCACGAGGGGTCCATATGTGCGAATAATAGGACAAAGCAGTTGGTCCGTGCTTGAACATGGTATCATTCGCAGTGACCAAGGAGTCGTCCGTACTGATCAGCTTAGGGATCTATGGAGCTACAGTGGCAGGACCGAAAGAAGTCGCGACGGCACCACCTGTTGCACCTGATGCAGCAAATGTACCAGTTTGAACGTTAGGACTATCTGAGTTAACAACCCTCGCCCTCTGGGTCAAAGGAACGTCATCCAAGTCGGTCTCACTACTCGTCTCAGAAGAAGTCCTCTTCCACTGCGTTCTCTCCTGAGGATACTCCCGAGTTTGGGAAGAGTTGGCACTTGGCAGAGCCAGTAGCAGCAGCCGGATTAAGTCGTGGGGAACTCCGATTCCTCTTGAACTATGGGATTGTAACTCGTCCATGCAGATCGCCTCAAAAGAGATATTGTCAAGGACTTAAACAGTTAGTAGCCCTGGGGTTGAAGGGATACTGTTCCACACGTTGTGCTCCAAGTAACATAGCCTAGCCCTACAAATGCTGAAGTCCAAGAGGTCATACGGGATTTTAATATGAAGAAACAGAAGCGTGGAAAGCAAATTCACAAACAGAACACTCATTGAAGGCAGTGGGGATGGGATAATCCTCAGAGGAGTCAACCTACCAAACCCCCTAACCCCTATGATGTTTTCCTTCCAACCTCTTTCAGAATCAGGGTTGCCGGTGCAGAACGCCCGATCGGAGATGGGAAAGAGATGATAGTACCTCTCGGTCTGACGGATCCTACATACCTTATAACAGAATAAAAGGTCTAAAATGTTCAGATCAAGCTTCCTTTCTTGGTTCAAAATCAGAAGGGCAGATATAATCCTAAAGAAATTGGGATTCACTTGTAGTGGAGAAAGGTTTAATTTGTTAAGAACAACATGGAAGAAGGGATGTAGAGGGAACCTGATCACATTCAGATGGACGGTAAAGAAAAGGGAGTCAACATTCCTAGGATAACGTTTAAGGAAACCGTCACCGGGAATCTCACACTGGGCGCGGAGGGCGTCCAGATCAAGAACCATGGTGTGAACAAGGAGGTTTTCCCGAGTCAATTAAAAAGAAGAAGAATAGAAAGCTTTTGCAGAAAACAAGAGAAAGAACATAGTTGACCTTGAAGAATGAGGAAAAAGAAGCACAGAACGGAAAAGATCACCGCCGGAAAGACAACAGATCGGGAATCTCTAACCCTCGCCGAAAAGAACCTCTTTGACCAAAATTAGAGAAAAGGGAAATCACAGGGATTGAAAAGGACAGGAGAGAGAAAAGCATTGAGTTCG